GTGTCCCACAAGAGTGTCCGACAAGAGTGTCCCAAAAGAGTGACCCACAAGAGTGTCCTACAAGAGTGTGCAACAAGAGTGTCCCGTAAGAGTGTCCCACAAGAGTGTCCTACAAGAGTGTCCCACAAGAATGTCCTACAAGAGTGTCCCGTAAGAGTGTCTCACAAGTGTGTCCCACAAGAGTGTCCCGCAACCATGTCCCACAAGAGTGTCTCACAAGAGTTAAGAGTGTCCCACAAGAGTGTCCTATAAGAGTGTCCCACAAGAGTGTCCCACAAGAGTGCCCTACAAGAGTGTCCCACAAGAGTGTCCTACAAGAGTGTCCCACAAGAGTGTCCCGCAAGAGTCTCCCAAATGAGTGTCCCACAGGAGTGTCCCACAAGAGTGTCCCGCAACAGTGTCCCGCAAGAGTGTCTCACAAGAGTGTCCCTTAAGAGTGTCCCACAAGAGTGTCCCGCAACAGTGTCCCACAAGAGTGTGTCCCACAAGAGTGTCCCACAAGAGTATCCCACAAGAGTGTCCTACAGGAGTGTCCCACAAGAGTGTCCCACAAGAGTATCCCACAAGAGTGTCCTACAGGAGTGTCCCACAAGAGTGTCCCACAAGAGTTTCCTACAAGAGTGCCCTACAAGAGTGTCCTACAAGAGTGCCCTACAAGAGTGTCCCACAAGAGTGTCCGACAAGAGTGTCCTGCAAGAGTCTCCCACAAGAGTGTCCCACAAGAGTGTCCTACTAGAGAGAGTGTCCCGCAACAGTGTCCCACAAGAGTGTCCCACAAGAGTGTCCCGTAAGAGTGTCCCACAAGAGTTTTCTACAAGAGTGACCCACAAGAGTGTCCCACAAGAGTGTCCTACAAGAGTGTCATTTGGACATATGTAGCTTTTTGAATGTGTTTGCATTCGGGTTCGTGGGCTCCATCTTGTTTTATTTTTGGCGCCCCCCCCCCTAGAGAAGCCCAGGCCCAGGCCCCAGTTGCTGGAGATTGAGGACTGATTGAGATTGGAGGTCTTGGAGACCAGATCTCCCTCATAGAGGTGATGACCTGATGTTGTATGATGGGATGTCGTGGACTTGCTGATAGATGATGGTTGATGGACTTCTGTGGGAATCAATGAGAACTAGTATGTTTGAATCAGATTGATGAGAAATTTGATAGATTACAAGTCGACATTTTTGCTAGACACGTTCTTCAAAACAACTAACATTTTCAAAAAAACACAGAAAACCACAAATCACAAAAACCCGTAAAAACCACACCCGCATAACGTCGTTTTCTGAAAGAAAAACCTCGGGCCAAGGGGCTTCCTCTTTGAACACGACCTCCAAAAGACCGCAAAAAGAACACTTAACTCCTCATCCGCACCCGCCCTCATCCCATCACCTTCCCATCACCTGCCCTCCACGAGATCTTCGACTCCCATCGTCGCGGTGATTGAGGCACCCTACGACTCGGTGTGTTGCACCTCAAAGCCCTGGACATCGTGCGACTGCGTGCCTCACGACGCTCGGGTCGGCTCGTGCTTCAGGCGGCCGGCTGGGCCGGGACGACGGGAAAAGCAGGGCACCCTGTCGTTTCATGGTTTGGGCTCGTCGGCACTGACACGTGAGTGGATGTGGATGGGGGTCCCGACGTCCTCCCGAACGATGAAGGGCACCCTGTCCTCCATGGAGCTGCTGAGCTACCTTCAGTTGGCTTGCTTGATCTTCAGGTGGGTGGCATCTGAATTCACTGTAAGCAATCCATGCGAAATCGATCCACCATGTTCGAACCTGTCTGTGGTTCGGATTCAAGAAGAGGGGGGTGTCCGGACTCCTCGAGCCGGGCGACCGGTCCATCCGACTCAGCGGCAGATCGAGGTCCCCATTGGTGTGTGGGCAGGATGAAGCGTCGATCTCGCGTCGGGACTCGCATCACATGAGACTCAGAAGACTCAGAAGATCGAAGGCGAAAGACTGAAGACTGGAATACACAGAGACAGATCTGAGCTTCTGAGCTTCTGAGCTTGCTTGAGCTTGCTTCATCGAAGCATGTGTTTCACCACAGAATGAAGCTCAGAAGACTGGAGATCGAACGAGACCCCGATTGTGGCATGTACTCGAGAAACCAGTCTGGTGGGTAACGGAAAGACGGGGGACGTCACCCAGTCTGGATGGTGTTCACCCAGTGGCGGTGCTCTTGCTAGTGCTGCTAGTGGATCTGAGATCGTCAGGTGGCTAATGTGGAATCTTGATGAATAAAACGTTCCAATTTGGATTGTGACACCTCTACAATATGGGGGGATATATTAATCAAGACTCTATCTACATTAAGGAGTCAGGGAAAAGGTTAGGAAGAATTGCGGTTCGTTTGAGGTTTGCAGCTCACTACTTGCCGCATCATCAGCACCTTTGGTTTACCGAGGCTTCCAACTACCATTGCTTGATGAAGGATTCTGCACTGCAAAATCCAGATAAACCATGATAAACCCTTTCTTAGAATGGTCTTGCAAGCCTTTGGGGTCTATTTCATCACCACGTCCGCGTCCGTGTGGAAACCCTGCGGAGGTGTTCCCCCCGTCCGAAACACCCAACACCCGCCTGCCCCCGCTGCCGCCTTGGCCCGATACCTTTGGCGAGCTTGCCGATGTCGGCAGAAAACGACCACTTCTTTCGACTGATATTGTCACCTCACCACCAGGGAACAAGCTACTTACAGGCTCAGAAGGAAGATCAAGGAACAAACAAAACGAAATCACCCCGCACGGCATGCTCACCGGGGTGCTGGTTGAGAGGTTGCTCATCTGTTTTACTTTGGAAGCAAAACACCTTCAACCCAAGTTGTCACCTCTGGAACCCAACAGCTCTTCACGTTCGATTCGATCAACTGCATGGCAGGATATCGTCATGTCTCCACTTCGTGCCCCGAACCTCTGAGACCCGGGGGGTTTTGGTCACCAACTTGGGGCCTCCAAGTGCGGTCATGTGGGTCGGACCATGTCGGACATGCACTTTCGGACTCAGCTGGAGAAGTGAAGACCTCAAACTCCTTGACCCAACCAACAGAGGTTGACGATTTCCAATCTAAGACTATTCCATGACTAGTCCCATGGATTTCCTTAGGTAGCCCCCCAAAAACTCCCCAGCAGTGGCATGTCCTATTTGTTCAGGTCAATTCACCTCACCTCACGACCACTTCCACTTCCACTTCCACTTCCGCTGGACTCTGGGCATCCCGGGCGAGTCCGTCCGGTGCATATCTTGGGACTCCGTGCCGCCTGCGTTGGACTTCGCTGGACGTCCCCGGCGGACTGTGGTGGTGGGACCGGTCCCGCGCGAGTCGACGGAGTCGGAGTGAGTCGGATCCGGTTTTGAGTCGGGATGGCGCGATCTAGATTTGTTCAGTCAGTCCAGGTCTTAAAAAGGTCTTTAAGACAGATCCCAAAAAGGTCAGTCAAGGTCTTTCCAGGTGAAGTCAGGGTCAAAGACATCTTGCAAAAGGTCTAGAAAAGAGGTTCAGGTCAGTCAGGTCCAGTCGACCAGTCGTTCCAAAAAGAAATGGCTCGACGCATGGTCACCGACCCGATTGCAGGAACTTCCCTCAGTGTCAATGAGGCAGAGAGGTCGAACCTGGACCTTTAGGGAAAAAGCAAAACATGAGTCGTCTCTGAGTTTAAACCAAGAACGCTATGCATCCCCAACGTCCAAGGACGGTGTTCGAATTATATCACCGTGTTTCCAAAGTGTATTGGTTTAACTCCCTGGCAGCTTTTGGAGTCCATTCCACTTCATCTCTTTTTTCAGCGATCAACACCCTGAGCCAAGTCGACGCCAAGTCGACGCCCGAAAAAAACACCAACTCTTTACCTCCGAAAAGCTGGCGCCTGGCGCCTGCCTCCTCTACCGCCTGCTCAAGAAAAGAACCCCCCCGAGCCCAGCCATGGACGGCCAAAAAGGGCGCCTTGTTTCAAACTGCTTCGGATGTGGTGCACGGCCTGGTACGTCCTTGGCGCCGGCAGCGGCGTCAAACAGGTCGGGCCGTGGGAGACTGTGCGAGACCGTTGGGTGGAACAGTCGGCCCAGCTTGGATGAGATCAGTCGGATTTGTTGAGAGAGATACTGAGATTGACTCAAGGATTGATTGAGATACTGAGATACTTGAGAGTCCACCTGAGATTTGTTGAACCAAGTCGGATTTGTTGATGTGAGAAAGGTGGACTTCTGGGGATTGACTCTTCCCTGAAAGTCCGTTCGACCATTCAAAGAATGGTGGTCGAAAAGAATAAAATCCTTGGTAAAACAATGGTGGTTCGGTAAACGCCTTTCAAATAATGATGGCCAGTGGTTGGAAGCCTATCGGTTCTAAATGGTAATTTTGTCTACTGTATTATTTTGGGGTCACATTCAAGTTTACGTCATCTCAACTAAATCAAAGGTGACGTCTGATGCATTCTGCGCTTATGGATTGTCTATCTTCACTTGATGCATGCATATCCCACATCCCACTCATTGATGTAAAGGATGTAAAGAATCCGATTACCCAAACTGAAACCTCTGAGGTTTAAGGCCTGCACACTTCTTATAGGTCTGCAAACAAGACACACAGACAGGAAGCACTAGATATTGGTCCTCAATCCAGTCTCGGTCCAAACACCTGGTTTTGAACACCTCATTGAGTAGTCTTTTGATATGGCCATGTAGGGATAAGAAAACAAAGACCCCAAATCTCGCAAAAAGCTCCCTCCCAACAGCTCCTTGGCTCCCTCCTAGGAATCGCTAGGTATATAAGTCCTCAATTGCTTCAGAAACGTCACAACTCAAAACACCTTGGGTCTTTTCTATCCTGCCGCCTGCGGCAGCAAGATGTAGCAACCGTTCTGACCATGTCTTTCCGGACCGGTTCTCCATCTTTGGTCTTTTGAAGGACTAACAAAATAACAAAATGCTCCCTTTGAGCCCACCATGGTCCACCACCATCACCGGTCATGAATCATGAACCGCCTCCACCACATCCACCCACCCCTGGGCATCCCGAGCTCCGAGGCGTCCGCATCCTGCGAGCCGTGCCGCGAGCCGTTGCGCGAGCCCGACCTGCGGCGGCGGTGCGGCCGCCCGTCCTCCACCAGGTGGCGGGAGCTGAAGCGCTAGGGTTCGAGGCTAAAAGCCCCATAAGTTGGGATCAAAAGCCTGGCTAGGCCCGAACGGCATGGGAAACTCATGAGCCTAGGCATGGGGCCATGCAACCAAAACTCTTGCCTGTTTCATCCAAATAACACCAGCCAGGTTTCGGCCATGTTGCCGGAAGATCTATGACATGAGGACATGAGGGGCTCCAAAATCAACAATTAAAGACTTGCCGGCACTATGACTGAAGATCTTCCTTCCACAACTCAGACTCTTCCGTGTCGCCGTGCACCCTCCAAAACCCCTGAGACCCCAAACCGATGGACCTTCCGCACCCCAAACCGATGGACCTTCCGCACCGAGCCATGGCACCTGCGTCGCAAAACCCTGGCCTCGAGTTGGATCTGGAGCCCATGCGAGATCCATTTCCTCGCAAAAAACAAGGCGCGTTTCTGCGGGCTGATGGGCGCCCGAGTGTTCGGACATCTGCGGACAGAGGGACGTCCGCGGCCCGCAAAAGAACGGATGTTCGTGTCGCTCCTTCATGTTCTTCGTTGGTGCCTGGTAATTCCCCGGGACAATTCCAAAGCCGACGGTACACCGGCTCCTTCTTAAATCAGCGAAATCAGCGGCTCCGGGGCGGGCGTTTGGAGTCCAATTTCTCGTTCGGGTGACAACTTGGGGGTGTTCAAGCTCCGTAGATCTGCCATATGGAGGGTCTCTTGGATGTCTCTCTAACTCAATACCCAGGGATTCCAACCATTGTTTGGAAGGTCTGAGTCTGAATTCCAAAGAACAATTCTTTCACTACCCCAATGGATCCCAGTTACCACTATATAAGGAACCAGGGATTCTAAGTCTATGGTTTTAGTCTTTGGAACACCTGGTTACCACCTATAGTGGTAACTGGATCCCCTGGGTACAGATTTTAGACTACAAAATAGAGATGTCAACAATTCTTTTAATGGTCATTCAAGTCTAGGGAAAATGTTCACCAAAGTCCTGCAGGGAAGCATAATGTCCCTCTAAATACCAGATCCAAACAAATTCCTGGCAGATCCTGGCAGTAAGTCACCACAAAAAAGAACACAAAGGCCAAAGCATTTGGGAAGTTGAGCCAAAGATTGGGTATCTCCAGCTGAGCTAGGTTTAACCTCGGATGCCGGTGGAAACGGATCCTAGAATCCGTCAAGTTGCTTGATCCAGACTGCATATTCCTGGCACGATTCGTCGGCGTTTAACAGTCAGTCAACGCATGAGGAGGTCGCCATGCTTCTTCCCTATTGTGTACATTGGATGGAGAGTTTGGTTGTATGCTTTGTTTGTTCAAGATTCGCCTAGAAGGGCTCTGCACCCTCTGCTGTTGAAACAAGCAAAGCATCTTGGAAGGCAGGGGAGTGCCTGGAAGAAGCTCGGTTAAGCTCTGGCAGACCTTTTTGGAAGCAAAGACAAGAAACAGAATCGTCCAAATTGGGGAGATGTAGTGTGACTCAGCGTGTCAGCAGTTTGCACAAATGCCATGAAGCTCCACCAGAGCTAGATCGCTTGGTAGACTGAAAGTAAGTTTCATGTTGCTAGAAACGTACAACATGGTTGGTAGAAAAGCATTTCCCCCAGTGAAAGTAAGTTTCTTGCTTGGGAATTGGTAGAGATAAGATTCGACTCTATTCATCTCTCTTCCCTCGAAGCAAGATTCACTCGGTCAGGTTTTAGCCTGTCTTCCATCCGCAACTCATCTGGACCTCAATTCTTTGACCTTATCGCAAGATTCAGCCTGTGAAGTAAAGCGTCTCGCTCTGATTCCCTGGGAAACAGCAAAATTTCGTTGATTTCAGAGTAGATGGGGGATTTTCCCCCAAGACATCTCTCTAGGCCACATCCACCTAACAACCTGATCTAAACATCCACCCTTCTTCCTATCTAACCACTTACCATCCACGTCCCTCCCCCTCCACACACGGCCCCATGTCCCTCCCTCCCGTCCACACTCCGCCTTCTCCACCGATGGAGACGTGACACCGTCGACCCGTGACGCGCCTCGGCGAGTTCTCGCCCGCCGAGATGCCTCGCGGGCTGGGCTGGGCTGGCTGCTGTCGGCGCGCGGACGCGGACGCGGACTTGGTGCGGGTGGCAGGTTTTTGGGGTGAAGATGGGGATGAAAAGAGGTGAAAAAGAGGTGGATGGGTCACCCCCTATGAGGTTCTGGTTGTTTCTTTCCCTTCTTTTTCCCGGAAAAACGTGCAAATCTCAAGTGGGTGTGAGGGAGATTTCTGTGGTACATGATGACATGTGCCTTTTTGGGGGAGCGGCGGACAAAGAAGAACACAAAGCTTTCCGGGCGGTCGATACTATCATACCCTCTACTCTCTGACATAGAGCAGCCAACACCGAAGAGATGTACAAACACTCCATGTGTGGCTGGTTTCCAGGGTCAATGCAGGCTGCAGGCATAGCAAAAAATAAAAAATCTTCATTCATCTTCCATGTGTTGGCCGAATGGGGTGGTAGACCCTGATCGATTTGGTCCTGATGCACCCAGCGCATTTCGGACTAGGGAGGAGCCCCCAGGGGACGACGCCTGCGTGGTGCAACGATCCTGAAGGATCGCTGGTCCGATTGCACCAAGCATTTCTAAACAAGAGGCTGTAAGTCACTGCAACACAAACACATGGGTGTCACGGCAGGGCCATTGTTTCGATCACCTCCGCCCACCGACGTCACACTCCGAGCGTCACACTCGATCCTCTTCGCCTGTAACTTCAGCTTCGCAGCTTCACACAGGAAATCCCACCAGAATCAAGTTCCGTTCGCACGGAAAAAAAGGGCCATACACCACCAAGTGCCCGCTCCCGTGACACGAAATGAGACTCACTGGATGGAACTGGCAGAGGACAGATTCCTCGGGGGTCGTCATTCTTGCCAGTCCCACACCCGATCCCCCCGCCGCGCCTCGTTGGAGTCCGTGTTCGCCGCCGTTTTCGCCGCCTTCCGTCCTCGGGGATGGTGATGGGTGCACTGGTGGGTGAAGGGTGACCTGCGAGTGGATGTTCATAGGAAGAGCCCAATGGGTTTGGGGATGGTTGGGGCCTATTGTCCTTCTTCCAGGCGGTCATTGCCTGGGAGGTCTCCCTATTTCCCTATTTTGAGACACACCCACCTCCAGTTAGCCTTCCAAAACCATTTAAACACAACCAAAAATGGTTGACCCTGTTCGTAGTCTAAATCGCAACACAATCAACCATTCAAACATAGGCAAAGCTTGCACGGCGGCATAGTGATCGTCGCATGAATCTGCGGTAGCAGCAGCAGACTGCCCAGCTCACCGCGTGCAGGGGGAGTTAAACCTGGGTCCATAAGATTGATTCAATCAATTATTTTAGGTTTCTGAGGCGCGTCCACCCCATCATTTAACTTGCTAAAGCAAGAGCAACTTCAGCTAGCTAAGGCTAGCTTTCGTGACATGTCACCTTGCGCGTTGGTCGCCGGGAAGGTGAAGGGACATCGTCTACCCAACCAGCAACTGGCTGGGGCGATCTGGGCCTCCTTATTCAAAAACAAAACACCCAAATACCAGCACCCTCCAAGAAGTCTTTCCAGGCCGCAGGTGTCCAGAAACCACCTGTTTTTTCGGGTGCCCAACACAGCCTGGTTGCGGGGGGAAAATGCCCTGGCAGAGGAGTCAGAGACCTTCCTAATCTTCTGATCCTCATCGCATGCGCTCAGACCACTGCCTTTCGGATGAGAACATGTATCATTCCCCCCAAGGGCGTCATCAAGGGCGTCCCTTCCCCCCAGCCCAGCTCCCACGTTCAGCCAGGGGGCTGCGTGGTTCCTCAAGTCCGTTTCACGGCAGAACGACAAGAACTACCAATCCCTAGCGTTCCGGGGCTCCTTCCTTCGTACCGAACCTCAGGTTCGACTGGACCCGAACACGGCACCCGCCTCCTTCCTTCGTCCCGAACCGTTTCACGAAGGTAGGACCGGAGACACCGTCCGAGGCCACCGTCCGAAGACGAAAGCGGCCACCCGCGCGGATGGGGGCGGAGTCTAAGGAATCCAAAGCGAAGAAGGTCATAGACCAAGTCGAAAAAAGAATACAGCCTCACAGACTTTACTAAGAGATGTAGGTTCAAGCTGATCTGATCTAGTCTCAGTTCTAGCCCACCAGATCTTAGAAATATGAATGCAGTAAAGAGTGGTGAGAAATGGCACTGGCATCTCTTGAAAAGATGGGGGGGGTCCACTGGGATCCATAAAAGCCACACGATGGTAAGCCAGCTAACTGAGGGGCTCTGGGCTCCTATCACCCAAGACTTGGATGTGCGGGAACACCCACAACTGCAGCAGACCCCAGATGTGCAAATCAGCTCAATGCTAACTCAGCTCAAAGCAAACCATCGCTCATCTCGTCCCGATATTCATCCCGATGGCTCGATGACCTGGCCTCTATGCCCTTCAGCGTGAAAAAAAGGGTCCTATTAATTGATTGATGTACGAGACCTTCTGCTGACTTCAGAGAAAGGGAGTGATCATATGCGATGATCAAGACATCGCGACTCCCCATGCTATATGCTAGGTCGTGGGTGGTCTGAAAGCACCCATATCTTCACACAATCAGAAGTACTGAGAAACTATGTAGAAAAAAGGAGATCCCCAAGCAACTGGTTCTATTCCCATCTATTCCCCCTTGGTTGTTCTTCCCAGCCTCCTAGGTGGCCATATCCATATCCTATAGTTGCCCTACCTATTCCAATACACACCCATACCAACACCCAAGACCTGTTAGGGGCCCAACAACCAACCCTCGACCTGGCAGTACCTTCTTCATGGAAGACTCCCTTTGTTTACCTGGAAAAGAATGGTTACTATAACATCCTGGTGACCAAACGTTCCACCTCTTCCTTTTTTGAGTAAGGAAATTACCCCAATCCCTACTGTAATTACCAAAAACATCCAAAAACATAAACGCACCATAAACGCCGAGCAGCGCGTCACCCGGGGCTTCGGGTCGCCCTCGAGCGAGCGACGGTCAACGAGGTCCCGTCAACCGGGACGATGGAGTCCAGTGAGAAACTCAATGGCAAAAGAGCCAGCGGTTGGAACAAGTCAGGATGTTTCAGGGAATTCCTGGATGTTTTCTCTTGGGAAGTCCGTTCCTTCAGTTCATGTCGTTTGTTGCATCGTCTCGACTGGACATCTTCTCGCGAGTGCTGAAGCGCTTTTCATCCTTTTTGCCGAGTCAAATGACCTTTAGACCGGACCAGTTGTCAGCACGCGACTCTACAGGTCTCTGCAACTCTACAGGTCTTTGAAAGCTTAAGAATGGCAGGTGGTGACCTGTGAAGTCGGATGTTGGTAGGTTGGAACAAAAGAACTGAAGAGGTCACACCTTGGTATCAATCGAAGGCTGTTCGGGCTTATTTGCGGCTCCATGGACGGAACAACTTGAGGGCTGCGCGAGCCTTTGAGGTGCTTAATGCCAAAAAGATAGTGTTCCAAGTTATTGAAAATCTTCAACTTGACAGGTACCGATCACTGCAAGACGCCTCCAGATACTCCAAGCATTTTAAGCCTCTTAAGGCATCTTAAGGCCAGACACGACCTGTCACTGGCCTGTTAAGGCAGTCACCATCCACTTATACTGTAAGTATTATGTGGATGTGATACCCATGGCCCAACCCGCAAGTTCATCGGCAATGCTGTCAGTCCCAGTTCCAGGTCGTCTCCGGGCTTCTTGTGTCACCCTGAACCTGAACCCCCACATCTCCAAGCTCACCTCCTTCCACATCAGCGACTCCCGAGCTGGCGATCCGTGGAAAACATATAAGGAGTTATACCTACACCATCATGGTTGGTCGCCCTCTTTTTTGTTTGAGCAGGGCGTCCCCACATGTTCCGCTGAGCCTCAAAAAGACCTTGTGGGATCCACGGACCTCCTGGATAGGGACATGCCAAGATCTGAGCCCCCTGACACGTTGGAGGAAGTTGTGGCCGCCCTGGCGCACGCATTGGCGTGCGCATGCGCATGCGCCACATCCAACGATCCGACGGTGGGCACGCACGAAGAAAAGGGAGACATGAGAGGAGCCCCCTTGTGCCGGGGTTGGGCAAAATGGAGACCTTCAGAAAGGACCTTGCCAGGTTGTCCCCGAACTTCCAAGGAGTCATTTTACTCCACTTGGAAGTCATAGTCCACCACTACCGTTGGGGGCAAAATAGAAAGATGCGTCATTTGGACTCTTACAGAGGCTCCGAAAGACCAACATGCAAAAAGGACTGTCCGACCAAGTGCAACCAGAGTGCACTCGGGGTGAAACTGCCTGGACCATCCTGTCTGAGTGTCCTGGCTGGAGACCCCTAAGAAGTGCAGGGGTAGTCCAGGCCAGGACACCCAGACAGGATGGTCCTGGAGTGTTTGCCTTCCAAGAAAAAAGAAGCATCGTAGTAGCCTCCCACCAGTCGGGACTCGCTTTTTTGAGGGCACTCCCTCTCTTGAGAAATCTGGCAGACGCCTCGATGCAGGGGACTATGACTGTAACATGTTGGACCTGGATCTTCCACCTGTGCAACATGTCTGCCGAACTGTTCGAACTTGGCTGGTTTGTACTGCTTTTGTAGATGAAGAGTGGCAGGAATCTGACACAGTTGGAAGATCCAGGTCTTATCGTAACTTTGACAAACACATGGAAGTGAAGTGGCATACTCGCTGAAAAGAAGACGCACTTTCCATCGCTTTGTTATAGGGGACTTCAATCCACTTCCATCGCTTCAACTCAGCGGATCGGAGCGGGGGAGGGATGGGACTGAAGGACCGGAGGGTCCCAGAAAAACCACGGAGAAACCAGCTCCCAGCAGCTCCCCTCCCCCCCAAACTCGAAGAACCCTGCATCTCCACTTGAAACACCTCCACGATACTCCCAACCTGCAAAAGGAAGAACCCAGACCGCAGGGTATAGGGGGGCCCAACACCTTACGGACCCGCTACTCCAACGGACGCGGCAGGAACCGCGCGGGGGGAACCGCCCGCCTTTCGGGCGCTCAAATAATTCATGAGGTGAGACGAAGGCGCATGCCTCGAGCGGCTCGTCGTTGTCGAGCGGCTCGTCCCCATCGTTGCTTTCAACGAACTGATGACTCAGTCGTCTCATCCTATACCCAACGGGCCCTCCAAGGATTGTCCTGTCTGCAGATCCACAAGTCGTGTACATTGGTCGACAGACCCTTTGGAAGGTGCTGGTTTTACCTAGACTCGACCCTCCAACAGCATCCAAGATCGGTGTGTCCAGTGGAATAATCATAGTACACAACTCATCATAGAGCAATCCTCAGATACCCGGCACCCCTGGTGGAAGTCCGGTGATGGTTGCTTGCTGTGGCTGTGGGGGCTGGTGGGAGAACTGTTGGGGAGTGGTGGGTTGGTGTGGCTGGTGGGTTGGTGTTGGTTGGAGTTGGGTGAGGTGGGTTGGTGTTGGGTGGAGTTGAATGAGTTGGGAGTGGAATGCTGGGAGGGGGTGCTGCAGAGCTGGATGCCCCGCCCCGTCCCTCAGCCAGGAGCTCTTCCAAATCGTCCGTTGGTTCGTCTTTCGGGAGCCCAAAGCCGGTTTCGTGGAAATATTCTTGCTCCCACTGCTTCTCCATTTCTTTGCGCTTTCGGCTCAACCGAACAATGAAGTTTTCTTTGCTCTTTCTGCAGCGGCATTTTTCGCTGGCTTGTAACTTGGCCCGGTGCTTTTCTTTTTGTTCGGATAATACCTTGGCCTCTTGTTTGGCATCCTTAAGCTTTGTTGGGTGCCGTGGGCCACATTTTTGAGGTGTGTGGCCCAGAGGCCGGTCTTATATCCTTTGCGAATGTGCAAAGTATACTAGCCTTCTTGCAGGTCTTCCTCATTGCGCCACCACAGCGGCATGGATCATACAGCGCACTCATTCCTAAATGAGGCATGCAAGTCATGCACAACAAGTTACTCTTTACTTCTTGTTTTGAAATGCGTGTCCTTCAATTTCCATGGTTTCCGCTGTCAAGCACCCCTAGCCCTCCAAGCAACCCTATTCATAGGGCAGAATTCGACCAAACAAGAAGAAAATAATAGAAAATAAAATTCGAATAGGGATATCCCCCTATTCTGGCCGAATAGGGCAGAATTCGATTAATATAAAATAGATATCCCCCCAAACTTCGGCCAGATACAAGAAGCAACAAAAACACCAACGGATCTCCGGGTGTAAATAGCAGCGAATTGGACACGCACCTCCGATCAGACACCCGTCCTGAACCACTACCGCAAGTGTGGGCACGCTGGTTGGGAAGAAAAAGAATCAAAACAAAAAAACAAACAACTCCGGCAACTCCACAGTCCAACCAGGACATCCTCCTTCCAGTGTTCTGGGAGAAAAAACCTTCTCCGAACCGCCGAACCCCCTCCGGAGCTCCACCGAGCGGCAAACGCTGGTGGGCCTGGTGCGGCGAGCGACTAACGGCAGGACCCTCATACCCCCCCAGGTGGTGCATGGAGACCCTCGTCACCCACAGGTTTCTGGGGCATCTGTCACCAGGATACCGGTGGTAGATGGCTGTGGAAAGGTGAAACATAGCTCCGGGGGATGTGTGGGTGTGTTTTTTTTCCAATAAATGTGAACTGAATAGACTACTAAGGCTACTGGTTACTAAGGGAGGTCAACCTACCAGGGATTGGGGCTCTGATGGCTCTGGGTGCCATGACCCCAAGCGGACCATGAGACTTCCACGGAGTTCGCTTGAAATCCGGAGAAAACCTACTGCGGGCGAAATGCGGACCTTTACCAAAGCGAGTTCTGCGCGTCGGTGATGTCTCATCATCGGCGCCGGTCATCGGCGCCCGCGCTGGCGTGCCCGGCCACGACCATCCCCGGCGGAACCCACGGTGTTCGTCGATGAAACCCACGGTGTTCTTCGGTGAGATCGGAGGGTTTGGGCTGAACAAAAGGTCACACCGAGCGCAGCCGATTGCGCCTGGAAAAGGACTCTATAGAGCTGAGGGTGAAGCGTTTGATGTATTCAGTCTGGTGACTCCCGAGCGGGAGATCAGAATCCCTGAGAAGGCAAACATTCATCATCCAACATACAGACATTGTAAATCCTTCTTTCCATATATGAATTTCCATGCCTTTTGCTTCGTGCCACGAAACAATGACCCCAAGAACGTGTTTAAAAGGATCGACTCACTTCCCGGCTGAGTAGGTCTCTGCAGGTGTCTCTGCGTCGGCGCTTCGAACCCAAAGCTTCACTCGTTTGGACCCCATCAGCGGTCATCGAAGTCGTCCCCAAGCCGAGGACGTGGGGCGCTTCGGGCGCGGAAGCGTCTGTTCGCTTTCCAGACCCTGAATTCATCAAACGGACCCCTAAACGCCCTACCCTTCAAAGACCCTTTTAACACATCTTAGACCTGGAAATGATGTGTCATGACCCAGGTTTTGTCAAGTCCTCTGTAAAACCATGTTCACTCCCATCTCAAACCCTTCAGTTGAACGGCGCGCCGGGAATCGACTCCGTTGCCGTCGCCTGACTGATGTAATCCATCGCGCCGCGCGAGACGGCTCGGTCCGATGGGAGTTCCGCCGGAGTGTCCGACGTGGCGTGCGAGGTGGTGACTCGGATGGGGTGGGGTGAAGGGGAAGAAGGAGTTTCTGCAGGTCCCAGCGGACTCCGGAACAGTTTCAAGGTCTGAAGTTCCTGGTGGCTTGGTGCTTGGCTGCTTGGTTTGGAAGCTGCCCAGGCTTGGGGGGGAACCATTCTCGCGAAAACCTTGCGTTTCTGTCCAGACACCTTAGGGGCGTCCCCCCCCCGCGCAGGTGTTTGTGCCAGGAACTGCAGGAAGAAAGAGTTCATGGACTGGGCCTTTGCTATCTAAACATACCAAGATCACAACCAACCGCTTTATCCTGGAGCCAAACAAACCAGCGCCGGCGAGTCTTCCTCGTCCTTTGCAGCGATTATGACGGGCGGCATCATGGGGTTGGTGAGGGCAGGGAAGGCATCATGGGATGGGTGGCCGCCCTTGTTGCATGGTTTTGGTATACGCTCTCTCCACAAACTACACATCAAAGCGACCCTCAAGTGGATGGAAGTGGATGGATCCTCAAACCTTCGCAGAACGAATCCGGTTCAGTTCAACAAAACACCCACCAAAAAAAATAACTAGTGCCATGTCTAATTTGCAATATGGTGGGTCTATCCTATTGCCAGGGCCCAGTAGATGATGATGGTTAGTAAAGGCCTTTCTCTTAAATAGTGATTTGCTTGTGAAACGGGACTGCTACATTTAACAGGACAGACCCAAGCCATATGCCATGACATGAAGCTGGACCATCCAAGGCTCTTGGGGTGTCCCCGTAGGTTTCCACGTTCGTGCCTGCACCATTCATTGACCACGATCGTTTGGAGTGTTCCGGTCTCTTTACAGCCAACCTTGCTGACCTCCCAATCGCGTGTGAAATAAGACCGACCCGCTGGCTTTACAACTCTCACCCTCCACTTCGTGGAAAATCGTTTAAACAAATAGACTGCTATTTGGTAGAGGGAAGTCATTGTGCCACCATCCCATGATGCCCGTTCCATGTGATATCTTCGTGTTCATGGAAGTCAACTGGAAGTCCGAGACTGTCCAAAAAAGAAAGGTTGACCTAGTGTTGTAGTGTCAAACCCTTAGTAAAACAATCGGTTGTTCAGGATTCAGGCTATTAAAAAGCCATGGCGGGCAGGAAGTCTAGGGCCTTTTGGGTATGAATTTCTGGTGACGTTTTCCGTTTGAGATAGGACATCCTCAGAGCCAAAGACCCGCAAAGAGCATTCAAATCGCTCCTCCACTGCACCGCGGCACCATCGAAAAATGCCCCAAAGAAGTGAAATCTGGGGAAACACATGGTCTTCCCCCTTAGGGTCCTTCCTTCCCCAACCACACAAACCTTGGTTGAACAAAAGAACTCCGATCTGGCGCCCCCACGGCCGATCCAAACTTGCGACCACCACCACCTCCCGCACCTGCAGCGCGACGTCCTTAAAGGCGAAGGTCGGGCCATGAAAGAGCTCCATGACATACAAGTCGTTCACCTCCGTCCCAACGGATGCTCGCCGATCAGCGGAGCGCGCGGAGCGCGCGGAGCGCCGAGGTTTCGGTGGGGTGCGAAGAGAGGAAGACGACGGTCCGGCGTTCTCCTACGGACCGGTGATACCCTAAGAATCCTTGGGGGTCGGTGTAGCGGAACGGGCCCAGATTCTCAGGGTTGAAAGGCTTTCTGCAGCTCCTGCTACAGGAGCCTACGGGCGGATCGGGGAGACCCTCCCCGATCCGCGCCGTTTTCGGTCGATTCTCGGCACCTATCTGAGCGACACACCGAGATACAAAGAATGACCTGCCACAAGCAGGGTTGTAGTGAAACACGATAGTCCGACAGAAACAGTGCAGAGCATGAAATGCATGGTGCGCCAATAGGGATATAATATGGGTGTGTAATTGAATACTAAGACCTCCAACCAAAGGTGTTTGGTCTATGTCCGTTTTTTTCCAGGGGTCTTTGGGAGGTCTCCCTATTTTAATATACACACCCCCAGGGGCCCCACAAACCATCAAAAACCTGGTGTTCCCTAGCAAAAAAACATTGTTTTTGTATGTGAAAACCTTTGTTTTTCATGGTTTTGAGGGCTCCTGGCCATATGATGCTCAGAATTTTGTGTGGTTCCCCACCCATGACCGACTCGAGCTGCATCCCACAACATATGACAGCAACAGAAACCTCCGTCCGACCACATCATGGGGGACGACCAGGTGCCAATAACCGGGGCACTCAAAAGAATATCATACCATATCCTCAGAAGGTGGTCTTCGACCCCCCCAAACCCACCCCAAACCATCTTCTCAGTAGTTGGAGCCCTAGGGATTCAAAGAGTTAAGAGGTCACCACGCCAAATCATGAGTGGGTTGATGGTTGTCTCAGATTTGCTCTCCCAGATCATCTACCCCTGTCCCATCACAACTACTAGCGCATGTGTGAAGTCACCCGGGCTTGTGAAAAGTCACCCGACTGATATTACAACACCATGGCAACGTTGTGCTTAAGTATGTTATCGGAAAAGAAAAAAAGGATACACATATACATGCATCAAGGATGTCCTTCCCATGCGCACAAAAACATGTATTGTTTATCCCTGCGGTACTGACGCTGAGGATTTCTATGGCTGCACTGACGCGGTCCCCGCGTGTCTTGCAAGTCCCCGGTACCCACCGACCCAGTGCCCAATACATAGAACTGCAACCCAGCAATGGTACCTTATCAACCTATGATGTCGACCTGATACTTCAAAGCTTCTCTTGCATCTAATCCCCGTGGAAAGGCAGCAGCCACACGATGTTACAGGAAGCTCATGGTTTTGGTGGTGAAAACCATCGTGTCCTGTAGATGTTCACTTGAACAAATTTAAAGCAACCCATTGAAAAACCAGGCGACTGGTCCACGTGCATGGGACTGGCATATGAAACCCTACATTGACCCCTGAAATCAACCACCCCTGGCCTGATCGGTAAATATGCTAAGTCCCATGGAGTGTTTGGGTCGTGTCTCGCGCGAGCGTTTCCGCACGCTTTTTGTGCATCGGCCACACGGCCTTGACACTGGGGACCACCTCCGTGTGGTCAAAGGTCTGGCAGTGCGTGGGTTTTCCGAAGAAAACCGCTGGAGTGAAATTGGTCTTTTCCATGAAAACTGAAGAACTTATATAGTAGTTATCTTAGTTGCAGAGAATATTTGGGGATAAAACATGACAAAACAAAAACTGGCGAAATTCAAAGACATCCTCCCATACACGTCCCTGGCGAATGCAAAAACAATATGTTGACATGTTTTGACAGCATAATGACCTGTAGTGGCACACGTGTCACTCTGTTTGGAAATAATTGGGCGAAGGACTCTCGACATGAAATAGTGGAAGCACCGTTCAAGTCTTTTTCCTGTGTACAGATCTGATGAGATAGTGAAGACCTAGTGATCAGTGTGGCCCGACCATGTCAGACTTGAGAGAGGAGGGGGTGAACGAAAGGTAGCAGGCAATCACAAGTAACCCTGCTAGAAGTCCATGACGGCGTGAACCAGCGCAGGGGGGATTTGATCCAGGGGGGGGCCCCCCCCGACGAACAGAATCAACTCTTACAGGACCAAACTCAATGCACAATCCCAACTCCTGATTGTAATACATTTTTGCTAAAGCAAGGAGAACTGTAGCTCAAGCTACCTTTCGTGACTTGAACGTCACCCAGTGTTCATCCTTTGGGCCGCCAAAACCACGTGCGGAACCGCTCAGCGTTCGAACACAACACATGCTCGGGAATGGTTCGGCCGTGAACCGGGTGGGGGTGCCGAATGAACGGAGGAAGGAGAGGGGTGCCCCCTGTCACATCCACTCAGACTCACTGGATGAGACTGAAAAAAGAAAACAGTTTTCCTTTGGAAGTGTTCCCCCGGTGTTTTTGGGTTCCGAAAGGGGCGCAGGCAATCTGTCAGAGATACTGGACCAGGATCTGGAAGGGCGACCTGTCTTGCCTCATCTGCCTCTTCTGCGTTCGACATCACATGGCTGTGGGTCAAGACTGGGACCTTGATTGACCTACCGACGTCAGGTCAAGCTGCATGATGGACTGGTCGGGCTCCAAGTTTGGACCCTTCCCCACATCGTTGCACGGACAAGTTGGACAGATCCCGAGACTTCCCCCAGCGAAAACTGAAGGTTTAGACTCGACCCCTACCACCTGTGCTTTTTTGGGGTCCTGTGCCCCGGCTGCCCCCGCAGGTCGGGCGGTGTGTGGATTCGGTGATAAACCCAAAGGGCTGGGACATCAAGGCCCGAACTTGGTCTCACTCTCCCTATTACACACCCACCCCACCCCTGGCACACCGTCCGGCAAGAGCACCCTCGCTCCATCTTCCGCGCTTCATCTCCGCGCTCCGTCCTCATAGCTCCGCTGCATGAGCTGTCGGAGATCCGCGGACGGGACCTCGTCCGTGCTGCAGAAGAGGCTCGCCACCTGGCTCCGTCGGTGGACCGAGCATCCGGCGGGTCTGGCTGGGCCAGGATTTCGGCTGGGTGGTGTCCAAGCCTGCAAGCGATCGCTCGGACAGGTGAAAAGATAAAAATCAGTCCTTATCATCCAGGTCCTGGATCATTCAGATTCTGACCCCCCTTATTTAAAGACACCTGGCATCTCCTATACCTTCTCATCTAAAGGGTCCTATATCATATCTGCCATCTCAAAAAGCCCGGAAGGTTTTGAAAGTCCCATCTCAATCTTTGTTCGAAGCTCCAGCCAATTCTTCTCGCCCCACAACCTGGGGATACTTTGAGAGCTGCCTCTCTTCAACGATCCCACCTAAAAGTGGATGCCCTGAATGGATGGCACCTGCCCCTTCGCCCCCCCGGCGCGCTCTCTCTCTCTCTCTCTCTCTCCATGTGCTTCACGCAGCACGTTTCCGTCAAGACGAGCCTCGAAGGCCAACTCATGAAACTTCAACTTGGACCAGCCTTCGCCCAGTCAAGCGGGCGCAGTTTTTGAGCTGGGTGCGACGAACACCATGGAGTTTCCATTGGATATCGATGCGGCTCCCAGGAAACCCAGGAAAACAATCTTCCCCGTGGCAGGGGATTCAACCCGTTCCATCCCCCTCAACGTCTTTTCAGGTGAAAAAGGCTGCAGCTTCCTTCACGGGAGTGTGCATGAAAAGCAAAAGCTTTCCTCACCTCCCTAGGAGAAGCAGCTGAGACTTGGGGAGCAGGTGTGCTGAGGCTGAGGCTGGACTTGGGCAGAGACCTGTACCACTCGATGGATACTTCAAGACTCTTGTAGGTGTCCAGGTAGGTCCAAAAGCTTGTACTTTCTCTAGGGCTGCAGGTGTTCCAGAGTTTTGTGCAGAGTCCACCACTACCATAGGTGTAAAATGAGTCAAACTTGGACTCTCAGGGTGTCTTGTGGCGGGGGGAATCTCTCCCTTCACCTGAAAAACAAACAACGGAGTTCCGATGATGTCCTTCCCTTGGAGCAGCTGATTCCCCGAGGCCCGCCCTCCAAACCGGAGGAACTCTTCGCACAAACGAACTGCCTTTGTAGATCTTGGAGACATCTGGCACCGTCTCTGGAACCTGGACAGGCAAAAACCTATTGGACCACTAGTTCGATAGACTAAATAGCCTGAATATAGCCCGAAAATGAGCCATATACTCTATTATGTTTAATCCATAGGCTAACTCATGTTATATTGACAGGTGGACCGGTCCACGTGCCTTTCTATGTTCCTGGATCCAGCATTGTCATGCCTTTTCATATGGTTGAACTTCTGTGTTGCTGCAAGATGAGGGGGTGGTGTTTTCCTGTGCCAACCAGCCTTTCGAACACCTCCAAACTTGAATTCGCGATATAAAGCAAACGGAATTGGAAGAATTTGTGTGGGCAGCTTTTGGATTTGCCAGAGACCCCTTCTGGAAGAAGCAGAAATTCGGCCAAGGGGGGCGGCATGGTTGTTGCAGAGACCATTTAGCTATAGCTACCAAGCTGATCAAGGCCGAGCTATTTCTGGGTCTCACGCTCACGATGCGCAAATGATCCGGAAGATCCCTATCATGCGGGCACTTGGTCTCTGAGACTTCTACCAGCACCCTCAGGTCTCTGGTGACTACAAGTTGGTGTCCCGCTGGAGGCCGTTGGACCTGTTTGGGATGTATAGTCGTACCGGTACCTGGTACGGTGATTGGAGGACAGCAGCACCCGACTCTACAGGTCTCCTCTGGTTGCTTTTCAAGACTTTAAAGTGGTGTAGATGGTGACCTGTGAAGTCGGGTGCTGGTACATCATTGGAAAGGAAGAAAGAAGGGATGTGAAGGGATGTTTGCTTGAAGAAACCGGATCAGTTGCAACTCTGAGCATCTATCTATCCGCTGCACTGATCAGAATTAAGTGCACGAGTGATGTCCCTGCTCCAGGGTGTGTGAGAGAAATTAACTTGAAGGCTTGCTCACCAGCGATTCAGAAAAAAAGATCCAGCGACTCAAACTCAGAATGTGCTTGCATTTGGGTTCTCCCTGCTAAACACCAAGGGTCTTAAAATGTTTTCCCTAGCAAAACATCTTTTCCGGATCTAGCCTCTTGCAGGGTGAGCAGGTGAGGCTGGTTTCAGATCCTAGCCGTTTCTGTGCTCGGCTGGTTTCATCCGAACCATCGTCTCAAGCGTCTAGACTGGCCCCTGCCACGAGACGCATGCACAGGATTAGAAGCTGGTCGAGGTGCTGATGAAGATCGGTATACCGGTGGATGCATGGTTTCGTGCTGCAATCAAATGGCGGAGATCCACTTGCCCTACCAGTACCCAATCTTGCTTCGACCACTCCAATGCATCAAGGCCACATACTGACTGAAGCCCCTTCCTAGAACCACTCCCCCCCCACCATGCAAGCTTTGGGATGACCCTTCTTCACGGATATCACCAGGAGCCTCAGGCCTTTGGTGGTCCTGCACCCACCCAGCTCGGGTCGAGCAGCCATCAATCCTCCATCAGGCGCCAAGCCTGGCTCGGAGGGCGCTCTGGAAACTCGGCTACATGGGCAGCCCGTCCTGCTACATGAGGAGTTTTCCCAGATTTCCGTGGGCGAAACTGGACTTCTGGGTGAAACAGGGTGGAGAAACATCAGAACAAAGACTCCCAAAATCGCGCGCGACTCCTTGAAGATCCTTCTTTTTGCTTCAACGACTTCGCTTCAGCGTCATCCTCTGGGGCAGCGCTATGCATTTCAGGTGGTTTCTGGATGGACAATAGATATAGTCAAGGTGATCCATCCAAAAACCATCCACTTCGTGGTGCTGGTTGGAGGTTGGAGGGTTTTGGGGTTTGGTGACTCTTGACCCGTGGCTCATATGCTTTGCCACATGGTCCCGGTTCGGGGCTCGTCCCCGGTTCGCAACCCGAAACGTCGGCTCGTCCTGCAGCTCTGGGGTTCCATGTGGTCGGGTGCGTCGGGACACTGGATGGCCAGTCGAGTCGGATGCTCGGAAACCCCCTCCTTGCACCCAGGTCGCTCGGTGGTTTTTGGGGAGATGAGACACCTCGGTCGCAGGTGGTTCTTGGGTGGTTTTACCCTTGGGCTTGAGGCTCATCTAAACAAACCTCACCAGTATTCACCTGTGCCTACTCCAAAGCCTGTTTTGCTATGGCATGGTTCACCCCTTTTGTTCACCTGGTCATGTGTTGGGGGTTGGGCGACCTCAGACTCAATCCCCCTGTTCTCTCCCTGGGTCGGCCTTCAAAAACTGCTTGTTCAAAGCTTAAGCCCGTGGCTCCGCCCCGGGTGCTGCGGTACCTGCGCATGGAGGGACCGCGGTCTCTACCAGGTCTCTCGGGTGGTGGCTTCGGGGACCTCTTTCAGGGAGACTCCGCCTGGTCCATCGCCACGAGGGCGATGAACAAGTCGCACAGCTTATATACCAGCAGTCACAAAGGGATGCTTAATGGAGTTTAGGGGTGCACATTATCCACTCACTTAAGGACTAAGAACGACCCCTTTGTGACTCTTGGTAGCTATTCGATGCTATTCTAGCCTTTTTCGGGAGCACAACAGGTCCCATCAGGATGCTCTTGGAGAACTTCTAGTTTGGTGCTTGCAGACCATGCTCTCTCCGTCAATGAAGGCGTGGCATAGGAAGCATTTGACGCCCGCTGGCCAAGGGCATTTGATCTGCTTCGGCCCCTCGCGCTGCTGGCCGCGCGGAGGGACTGCGCGGCGGGCAAGACATGGTCGCGAGCGGCCAATGGCGCCAGTGCTTGCGCCAATACTCCGGGTTGGCAACATTACCCTCTCTTCGATTCTGGTTTCTTCGTGCGCGGCTTCTGCAGCTTCTCATGCACCGGAGCTTTGCAAGTTGGGCAAGTCTTGTTCATCACGTACCGTGGATGGATGCAACCCAGGCAAAACTCATGCCCGCAATCCAATACAACAACGTGTTGGGGGTCTTCGCGGTCCGTAACCTGGTATTTCAACTTGTCCCAACAGACGCTGCAGTCTTCGCACACGCCTAACTCTGCACACCTGGATCTGTAGCGATCCTTGAGGCCTCCCCGCTGGTCGACGAGCGCTGTGCGACGTACGCTCATGATGCTGCGCGTGCGCTTGCGGGACCCGCTTGTTCAGCTTTGACATGGTACATGTAATAATTCCGAGCATGTTGAGCCCTCATGAGTCAGATTGAAAGTTGAATCAAAGGTCACATAATGTTTGCATTTCGGTATACGCGGCAAAAAGTTTACAATGCAGAAAAAGTTCCGTGCAATTTTTTTCACTCCAGCAGGCTTGCTTATTGAAGTTGCAGCTTCAGGTGAGCTGTGATAAGGTCGTCCCAAAACTCACGCTCGTTGGCATGCAAAGCTCTCATGCGCTAGAGTGAGAGTGAGAGTGAGAGTGGGAGTGAGAGAGAGAGAGAGTGAGATAGAGAGAGAGAGAGAGTGAGTGAGTGAGTGAGTGAGTGAGTGACAAGTGTGAGTGCGAGTGTAAGTGTGAGTGCGAGTGAGAGTGAGAGTGAGAGCGAGTGTGAGTGAGACTGAGTGTGGGTGAGAGTGAGTGTGCGTGAGAGCGTGAGGGAGTGTGAGTGTGAGCGAGTGAGAGTGAGTGTGGATGAGAGTGAGTGTGAGTGAGAGTGAGTGTGTGAGTGTGAGTGCGGGTGGGAGTGTGTGTGTGAGTGTGAGGAGTGTAAGTGTCAGTGGGAGTGGGAGAGTGGAGTGTGAGTGTGAGTGCGAGTGTGAGTGTGAGTGAGAGTGAGTGTGGATGAGAGTGAGTGTGAGTGAGTGTGAGTGTGGGTGCGAGTGGGAGAGAGTGTGAGTGTGAGTGTGAATGTGAGTGTGAGTGAAGAGTGAGTGTGAGTGTGAGCATGTGTGAGTGAGTGAGTGCTGTGCCTACCACGAAATCTGCACATCGAGGCTCACCAACTCCTGTACCTGCCACGAGATCTACACTTCGAGGTTCACCAAGTGCTGTGCCTGCCACGAAATCTGCACTTCGAGGTTCACAAAGTGCTGTGCCTGCCACGAAATCTGCACATTGAGGTTCACCAAGTGCTCTACCTGCCACGAAATCTACACTTCGAGGTTCGCCAGGTGCTGCACCTGCCACGAAATCTGCACATCGAGGGTCACAGAGTGCTGTGCCTGCCACGAAATCTGCAAACGAGCCACATATCCAAAAGTCAGGATTCACTGCACCTGTCAACGAAATCTGAGCTCCTCGACGATCACCACCATGTCCAAAGTGCTGCGCCTGCCAAGAAACCTACATTTCGAAGTAAAACCGAGGTTTCCCTTGCGCCTGCCACGAAAGTGACCACCATGTGCCAAAATGCGCACGGCGCCACAACGAGAGCGCAGTCGAAATGCATTTTGACGATTTCGAGAGGCATGAATGCCCTGTAAATAGCAACGAATTAGCCGGACACGCCCGCTCGGAACAGCGATCTAAGCACACCTGCTTTTCACCTACCGTAAGAACCCCTCAGTGTGCCCACACTGTTTGGAGAAAAAACAACACTTCATGAAGGCCGTAAACACCCTTCAGAGCTTGCTTCTCAAAAGTCTTTGGTTAGGTAGGTATAACTCACTTAGGTGGATTGTGCATTCATTAAGACATACTAAAAGCATTCATTATAAATTTTGTGCATGCACAGTGAACTGGAAGTGTGAGCATCTGAGGATCTTGCAGCTTCCTGGATCTTCCCAGTGACCGACCTTGATCCGAACAGGCTTGTAAGTTCGGTCACTTGATGGGACTCCACAGTTCGGTCACGGGGAAGGTCCTGCTTGAGGAGGCTTTACTTGACCCCCACTCTGCTCCTCCAAGGCCTGGACCTCTCCCCAGTATTTCCACATCGGTGCTAGCAGAACGTGCTTCTTCGTCGTCTGTCCGTTTCGGAAACCACCTCCATCTCATTCTCATGTGGCTGGAAAACAAGAATTAAACCACCGTAGACCCCAAACAGGTTAGACAACAACGAAGCATTCCCAAGTCCACGTTTTGAGACATCAACAAGAAGGGAGACAAGGTGACCAACAAGAAGGAAGACAAGAAGGGGAAAGGGCGGACACATCATAAAGAAGAATTGAGAACCCCTAACAGTAAACTGTTTCGGGAATGAATAGAAATGTTGCATCGCCAGCAGAAAAGGGCGGACACCAGTGACAGACCTGGGAGACAAATGAATAGAAATGCTACATGGCCAACGGAAAAGGGCGGACACCAGCAGCGACCGGGAGACAAACGAATAGAAATGGTACATGGCCAGCGGAAAAGGGCGGACACCAGTGACAGACGTGGGAGACAAATGAATAGAAATGCAACATGGCCAGCGGCAAGGGGCGGACACCACCAGTGACAGACCTGGGAGACAAATGAATAGAAATCTTGCATGGCCAGCGGAAAAGGGCGGACACCAGCAGTGACAGACCTAGGAAACAAAAGAATAGAAATTCTGCATGGCCAGAGGAAAAGGGCGGACACCAGCAGTGACAGACCTAGGAGACAAATGAATAGAAATGTTGCATGGCCAGCGGAAAAGGGCGGACACCAGCAGTGACAGACCTGGGAGACAAATGAATAGAAATGCTACATGGCCAACGCAAAAGGGCGGACACCAGCAGTGACAGACCTGTGGAAAACAAATGAATAGAAATGCTGCATGGCCAGCGGAAAAGGGCGGACACCAGCAGTGACACGAAGGGCGGAGGCGGACACATCTTAAGAAAGAATTGAGAACCCCTAACAGTAAACTGTTTGGGGAAAAACACCCATTGAGAGCAACAGATAACATGAATGATGGTATAACAAGCCGAATGCCGAAGTCCAAAGACGTTGACCTTGGCAATGCCGAACGTACAGGAAACTCCTGACACCCAGGTCACCAGTTCGTCAGATCCTCAACCCTCCGGTGGAAGGGTTTGTGAGTCGGCGGGAGTACCTGGGTCATCCTGTCTGGATAGACATCCTATGGTATACTACCATAGACTACTAGACTACCCTACACTGCTGTCACCGACCTCGGACACCTAGACAGGATGATCCTGGTCCAGTCAGACTTGTTGGACTCCCTTGGTGATCCCTAGATGCCCATGGGCAGCCATGGGCCACTGGGACTCGACCGCCGCAGGTGACTACCAACACCCGACAAGCACCAGGTCGGCTCCGACATGGAGGGTTGGGTTGGGTGGGAAAGGCCCGAAGACAGGTTTCAATCGGTGACCTGGCAGGTTTCGGGTGCTGGTATAGATCGTCCAACATGCATCGCCGTGTCGTCTCAAAAAACCAGCCCCAGTTCGGCAGAAAAAAAGACTCGCGCGCAGAACCGGAGGATCCAGGATGATCCAATTCACTCCAGGGGACCTAACATCTTTGACAGCCACAATTCGAGTACCAGCAGTCACAAGAGCTCGGGGTGCGGACTCCATGGAGGTTTTCTGGGTGCCCCTGTCACATCCGCCGATGGGACTAACCACCACCCCGGTGGAACGTGACTCCATGGATCTCCATGGTCATGTTTCTTAGCAGTCTTTCTGCCCCCGGTCCACGTTCATCCTATTGATCCCATGTCCTCCACCCCCGATTCCCGCTTCCCGGTCTCCGCGCGGCCGAAGTCGACGCACGTGATGGAAGGCGCCATGGTGTCGCCGACCGACCTCGGGACGGGGCGGTTCGCCCGGGCCGTTCGGGAGGTGTGCCAGGCTGGTCGCCTTGAGTCGAAAAATCGTGAAACAATGGTTCAGGCTAATTGCTGATTGGTTGGAATCCATCGTCTTGACACTCGTGTTGGAATCCATGGTTGGAATCCATGGTTGAACCCAACAGTGTTTGACACCAACTTCCACTCGTTGATACTCCAACCCTGCAAACCAGTAGAACATCCTGATGTTCTTCCTGGTGCAGGTAGCAATTGTTCATAGTCACCGATCCCCTCCGCACTCAAGAAGCATGAGGATCCTTTCGGGTTCATCTCTCTCTCTCTCTCTCTCTCTCTCTCTGATTGAAACTTGGAATTTTAAGTGCAACACATTGTCGTATACCACTACCCTCCAACAGGTCACCACCTGCGACTTTTAGGTCAGCAAAAGCCTCCAGAGGAGACCTGTAGAGTCGGGTCCTGGTAGCTGCTAGCTGCGTTGTCTGAGAAATTCTTCATGGCCTTGTCCGGTCAAGTTCCATCGTACATATTCCATCCGTGCCAGGTGTTTACAGCACCCACTGGAGGATCGGCCCGGTGACGCTCGGACCGGGAGTGGAATCCACTATGTTGCTCCAAAGGCGTCCACCGAAAAGTCCGCCGAACAGCGTCTCTTTCGTGCACCACGTCAGCCCCACGTCCACCATATCCACACGGTCGCAGCGGTTGGCGTGGCATGAAACCCGAACCCATCGGAGGGACCGGACTCGGTCCCACGAGACGTGGGCGGTGTCTGCACTTGGAGTCTGAACACATCCTCAGGAGGTGGTTGGAGCCCTAGGGCAAAAAACACCCACCCAAGAACAGCTCAAAAGCATGTTGAAGAAGCCCCCCACGACCATCAGGCTCGGTCCCTTTGACGGTGACCTCTGGGGGCATTGGGTGAATGGCAACCGCTCCCAAAAGCCGGTTTCCAAACGAGGATCCACCAAGTGTTCAGTGGGTTAGTTCAGATCGATGGCGTGTTTTTTTAAATGTATACATTTCACCACCAAGAACGGACCAGGTCATGCAAGGCCATCTGGGTCCTATTTATATGTTGGTAGATGGTATAAGTACAGATCGCCTACATCACCTGGTACGTCACCAAGGTGGTGGTGAATGTGAAAACGCCACCAAGTCTCTCAACCGCCGTCTCGAGGCCGGCGTGGAGCATCGGAGAGGTCGGCCCAAAACCCAGGTCTCCCGTTTGGCCTCCAGTCGTACCGAACCGTTTCGAAGGGCTTTTGGGTGGGTGCCATGGTCGGGTCCAGTCAAAACGAACCTGAGGAGGTACGACTGGAGGTGTAGGGTCTGTAGCTCATTGTAGCTCCAAATCCCGGAGACCTCCCCAAAGATTGTTCTTCGTCGATCCACCCCGGAATCTCGGGTAGACATGGTCGATGTCCCGAAGCTTCCGGATCAAAGTAGTATCAAACTGGGAGGTCGCCCTATTCGAGCTACACACCCGCTGGAGGCCTCTAGCTGTCCTCCGCCCCGGCCCACAGAAACCCTCACCGTGCCCAGCTGCCGACCACCGCGGTAGGGACTCTCGACCCGTCAGCTCTGAGCCCGGACAGAATCGGCCAGCACTGGGAGGTGTCCCCTCTGCCTCTGGTAACCAAAGGTATACCCTAGAAGTCCAGTTCGACTCTATGTTGACCGACTGAAGTAAAGGAAATTCGAAAGACACCCTTCTTTTTTCAAGTCGACTTGATTCCCAAGATCCACTGGCTCCACTGGCTCGGGGGACCATACTCGGGCCAGCCCCGGGGATCTGCCGAGTGTCGGTTCCCCTCCGTCCGACCGAACGAGTGGACGAGACCTACCTACCGGACCCTGGACTTCAAGTGGAACATATGGGTTATTGACCTCACCTGCTTGGTCCCATTTTCAAAGGTATGACCTAAAGTCGGGTCCAGATCTACACCAGCTCTTTCCCCTTTTTGTGACAAAAAGAAGGCTACTAGGAACAAGAAGCTACTAGCAAAGGGCATTACTACTATAGGAGCAAGGACGCTACTAGTAGCTCCTGGCCTTACTAGGAACAAGAAAGCTACTAGTAGCTTTCCGGCTTCTACCCTCGACCGCTTCTGCCCTCGGCCGATAGTTGATCCACGATGTACAGGTGGTGTGCCGTGCGGTTCTTCGTTTTTCCAAAGTCCACCCCAGGCCCTTCATCGAACACATGATCCTTCTGATCTCATTCTGCTGTGATGCAGCAGAAGAAGGTTTCAATCCCCTGATTGATGGAGGTCCTATACCAATCAATCGACCAACCATTAAGGCACCAGTACTGCTTCTAATGATTGACTGATTCATTGATAGTACTACACTTCCAATGATTAGGGCACCCGATTGATGGAGGCTTCAGTCTTCCATTGATTCTCCCCAGAAAACGCCCGACGCCAAGGACCTTTTGCGGCGGACGGCGGACCCAGCGCTTCGTCTCGGCTGAAACCGCCAGTCTCGGCGTCTCGGCGGGTCCTTGTTCGGCGGAACGCGGAGGTGGACGCACTGCATCGGAAAGGGGCGGATTGGAGACCAAAAAGAACCACCAAAACGTCAAGCTTTCTTTCATCTCTTGCTTGCCCTGCTCTCTTGGCACTTTGCATTCAGAAGCTTTAGGCTTTAAAAAGCTAGACCGTCCAAACACCCCGGCCCCAACCCTGGCAGATCGTACTAATCCTCCGCTCAGCGTCGCGTTATCAATGTGGAAAGGTCAACTCTCCACAAAGGGGGGCTTTGGCCGCCACTTCCGGCATCTCTCTTTGCATCCCGGCATCCTCCATCTGTCGACCAACGTCCCATCTCAAAGAACAATAGACATAGATCACTTCAAGTTAAGACTCAGCGAATCTTTTTGAAAGGAACAACAATCCAAGTCCTCTTTCTCCTGAGTTGTTGTCCTTGAAATTCTTGCCTGGGCATTAATGAAATTGCTGGGCGTGGCCAAAAGCACCGCTGGTGTTTCGCAGAAACTCCTAAACTCAGTCTGAGTCTGGCCACGCCCGTATCCGGAAGCCCGCATGAATTAAAGGTGCTCTGATCCGACGATAGACCGACCGTGCATTCTCGCTCATGCGGCGGGGTGACTCCTGTCATGCTCCCCCGCGCACGTGCCTTCTCGTCGCACGGGCGTTGGCATCCCATGTGCTATTCGCCACTGGCCCGTGGCCGGGGCCCGTGGCTCTTTGGAAAGAAAGAAGGAAACAGGCCTACAGAGGTGAAGTGACCGTAAATAGGACCCTACAGCAGTACCTATAGGATAGTCTAGTTCGGGTTCTGACCCACCTCTGCTGGGGGGATGGATGATGGAACTCACATCATGGGTCGATGCGTGGTGGATGGCCCGGGGGCAACGAGGGCCAGGGCGGATGGCCGGGCAGCCAGGGCAGCCAGTCTCGTTCCAAGGGCAGCCCCTAGCCAGTCATGGTGGCTACCAGCTCGTCCGTTCAAGTTTCAGGTGGGGGGTGCAGCTGTCTTGTGATTAGTTGGTTAAGTGGCTAGGTCTATCTAGGTTGCTTTTGCGGCTGCCACTGCGGCTGCCGCTGCTGTTGTCGCCGTCGTCGTCGTCGTTGTTTATGGTTCAATGGTTCACGTTGTTCACGCCCACGAAGCACTCCGTCTACGGTGTCGCTGTCACACGGGAAGCCTCTGACTAAACGAATTGCTTGGAATGGCGGTCACTGGGATTGGATGGTGCTCGGTGGACGATGAACGGCACGCCGTGCCCGACCGAAGACCTTCAGACCGGGGTCTTTATTGGTTGCGCCGAATGCAGTGCCCCCTCCCTCCAACTGCGGAGCAGCCAACTCCGAACTACTGGAGGGTAGAACCCAATCCTGGAGGGTAGGACCCAATCCTTTCTTAGATCCAAGAAGTCGAAGATTGAATATCCCAGACGCGAGATTGGTCGGACTGGCATCTGTTTGCCTAGAGCGTCGTGGTCTCAGAGGTGTAGGCTGAAACCGTCCCAAGACGTCTGGAGTGTCTGAAACCGTCCGATACCGTCTGACCCATTCTTCACTTCAACAAAACGGAACACAAAAAGAAAATAACACACAAGTAATACCAAAAAAAACTGTATTTCTCTGGGTGTTTATCTTTACTATTTCTTGGAACATCTAGGCCATGTCAACAGTTGCTATGTCGGATGTCCTGAGTCGATGCATGCCCTGAGTGGAATGTGAAAGCTATTTTCTAGGGTTGAAAACTAAAACCATAGGCATATCTGAAACCCTTCCAATATCCATCGTGTCTGGAGATGTCTGAAACCCTCTGGTGTGAAGTTTCGATGTGAATCTTCACCGCTTTGACCGCTTCGTGCGGAACGTCATCCTGATATGAGCACCATCACACTGCTTCAGCTTTTTCAGCTGTTGCGCGATCTCGAGAAGGGGAACGCATGTGTCATCGACATGAGTCATGAGTCTCACAGGTCTACTTTCGTTGATGAGTCTCAGGTCGGACCGGTGGAATCGTGGACGAGTCATAGGTGGAACATGTCCAAAGCAATTCCTTTTTGGTCGACCTCTATCCACCCCAGTGCATCCCAGGCAAACCACTATATAAGGAAACCAGGGATTCGTTCGGTCTGTGGTTTGTCTTTCGAACCAACTGGATACCAGCTATAGATGCCCTGGGCACTTTAAGATGATGCATGCATTGGGCAAATGATGAAAACCTTTGTAAAAACCATCACCGAACACCTCTGCAGTGGTGAAAGGGATCTGGTTGTATCTGAGGGACCCTCGCACCGGTCCCCTGTGTTTGTTGTTTGGCGCTCTCGACCCAAGGGTCCCTATAGAAGGAGATGTGTTGGATGGTTTTCTGATAGATTCGCAGCAATGGAAACCATAGATGTTTATCTGGTTGTTTATCTTCCAAGTAAAGGTGGAACATACCCAAATTCTGCACCCAGAGATCCAGGTCGAAATGGATGGATGACAAGGAAGTGTGAATTGACCTTCGTGACCCCCCCAGTTCGAACCCCTTTTCTGGAAGAGGAAGTTCGACCAGCGAACCGCGGAGCGCGCATTTTTTGCATGGGCGGGGCGTCAAACGGCTTCCAATGCGCACCCAAATCAAGACCAGCCTGCATCTTTTTGGACGTTGGAAGTCTCCAGTAGATCTATCAGACTTCCCAAATGTCAAGAAGGGATAGCTCAGAGGTTCTAGTGTCATGAAGATGAGGACATATTCCGGGAACTCCCAGTTCCCGATCCAACGGTTCCCCTTTTCCTGCCGGCCGCCATTCCATCAAACATGCACAGAAAGCATCGATGAGACGCTGGAGCATCCCTGGGTTTCCAAACCATTTGAAGAGCTGCAACGTCGGCTACTGCGGCGGTTCAATCATGATTGGGCTTTTCAATCATGTCAACACTGGTTTGCAGATGCCCCAAGACTGGTTATAGAGGAAGTGAAGGTACTTGAAATTCCATGGAAATGTGGCAGGCTGCTACTCTGAGAGAGGCCAGGATATTTTGAGCGTCCGCCGCGACGACAGACTTTTAGGGTCTCCTGGGATAAAGTTGTTTGTGCCAAGAACTTTTTTGCACACTTGGATTTGGAAAGGATGGACGGATGGGAAGTGCGCTGAGTGGTCTTGCAAAGAATCAAACTGAGAGAGAAGTCTTTACCAACTCTGGAGAGCACCTAGCCTAGCAAAATCATGGCACGATTCTTGGGACAATGTGACAGATTTAAGATTCAATGCGAAAGAAATGCCAAAGGGCTCGGGGGTGCGTGTGAGGAAGAAGTTCAAGCATGCATGTATAAGTGTCTTAACATGCCTTAACAACGAATATTGAGGTGCCAAATTCGATAGATATGGAATGTGAGCCGCGCCAGCAAATCCACCCTTTCTAGGAAGTCACCAGTGTGTCATCAATGACTGTGCAGTGAAACACACTTCAAACGGCGGCTGTACACTATACAGGATGTGGTGGCCAACGCGACGTGCTGTACCACTCCCGACACTTCCGGGATGTTTCTTGGTCACAAAAGAGCGGCGGGGTCTGGTGAGACCTATCGTGGAATCCGTCGAGTCGGCTTGGTTGGGGAAAAACGATCCAAAGATCTGCAGCAGAGGACAGCAGTGCTGTAGGGTGCCAGCTGTTCTTGGAACAAAACCCATCAACCAAGGCCAGGGAACGGCACGGCCTTGGTTGCGGGGGGGGGGGTTACCATATTCAGATGTTCTGGGCCTGAACGAACTCAGGTGCTCAGTGTTCTCCCGCGAGTTCAAGAATGCACCACTTGCTCACTGATCTAAATGACGGCCCTGCCAGACCCCAGACCCGCTCGGTGGCCGCCATGGCGGCGTTGAGCTGCGCCGAGTCACCTCGAGCGCCCAGCGTGAAACAGGTCCAGTGCCGAGTCGCCTACGCCGAGCGAAACCGCTCGGCCGGTGAACCGGAACTTCGCCCACGTTCCGATGTGAAGGATTTGAAGCAAGGCTTTATTTGGGGAACAAAGCACTTGTTTCTGGTTGAGACTGGGTAAACTGAGGAGATGGATGGTTTCTGTAGAAGCACGGTGTTTTTTCAGCACGGTGTGCGAGTCTGTTCACCGCCCCTTGCCTTGGCGTTTCCCATCTGCCCACTCCACGTGGTTTTGCGAAGCTGTTGAGATCTTTTGAGTCTTCTATATGGCTTCGTCTCAACATCCACCATGTAAAGACCCCGATGTTCAGAAGTTTATGAAGGTCTTTCCTCGGTGAAGACACTGCAGCCCGCGCCAGGGTGGGAGAAAAGGGCACCACACAAACCCACAAACCTGACAGCACACAAATCACCGGCGATGCAGCGGAAAAGGCTGTCAACCTAGCTGTCGGGCTGGCAGAACTCTACGGCGCCGAAGGGTTCCCTGCTTCATGGGGATATTTTGTTGGAGGAAGGGACCCAAGCTAGGGTTCTGGGTCCCATGAATATTCAGGGTCCCATGAATATTTCTGGGATTGAACTGGATATTTTCTGCGACCCAAGCCGAATCGCTCCCTCTGGTTTGCACCAGCTAGGAGCAGGGTGACGTCCACGAGCAGAGCCGTGGTCGACCAAGTCTTCGTTTTGGTGCCGGAGACCGGCGAAAAAAGGTGTACTGCCCATGTGTTGAAGCATAGCCAAGGTTCAAGTCTTGGAGACCTTGCTCCTTCTTTCGGCTGAATGAAAGAGCAATGATGTCTGCCCCGTTCAGGGAAGAATGGAGCGGGAAGAACGCCAGATACCAAAAACTTAACAAGGGAACCTTGCCCATCTATGGAAGGGGACTTCTGTATTCTGATGTACTCTTGCTTCAATTCGCAGGAGTCTTTCCAGAGCGTTTGTCAATCACCTCTGACAGTGGCCTGGTCGAGCTGATTGACCTCTAATCCAAGCAAAAAGAACAAATCATAGATTCGACATTGTACAGTAGTAGTTTGGTTTGCGGAATGATCAACTGCCAGACTAAAGACCTAAACCCTAGCCGTCAAAAACCTTCGAAAGAAGGGTTTTTCCTGGTTTGGGTAAAAAATAGAACTAGTGAAACAATGGTTATTCCGGATTCGAACCATTGAATCAACTGTGTGGATCGAATCCTAGGGCAAAGTCATGCAGTACCAGACGTTGGGCTGCCACTGCCACCCGTCAATCACTGCTCAACCTACTCATGTGTTCTCTCACTGGATACGGCCCATATGCTCCTGCCTGGCTTACTTCTGGTAGATTGGAACTGCCTGGCCGTAGGGCGAGGGTGCCAGGGGTCTTCGGCTGCCCGAAGTACTCCATGTTGGGGTCATGCACGGATTCGATGCCAAGAGACACATAGTTCCCTCAGTTTGTCTGGAACTTTATGGTTAACCTTTTCAACCTGCTGGTTTTGAGCGGGAAGAAATGACTGGGCAAAGTTTCAAAGAGCGATGTACGCCCTGGAAGAGACCCACATGGAGCCTGACAACCACTGGGTTGTAGAGGAAAATAGTCTTCCAAAGGGCCTTTCCGTGCCAAGGATCTGATTTCAAAAAAATTACCTATTGAAGAAATAGTTCTGTCTATTTCGGAATAGCGATGAACTGCATAAACAGAAGCATGTTCATTGGGAATACAGCTGATGTTCCAAATGTTGCTGGGTGGACGCATAACCGAACGCATGCGTCAGAAATGCATGCGTGTCTGGACGCAGACCGCCCGCATGTGACGCACGCCGAAGAAACAGAGGCCCAACCCAAAAAGTTCCGCACGGAAGAGGTCCTTCTCGCTCAAAAACATGTGTCACTTGGGTTACATCTTTGTCTACACTCCCTCCAATGGAAGTAAACCAACCCCCGCTTGTAGAAGAAAATGGTCTTACCAGGGACCATGTCAATCACTTCCATGATTGTAAAGAAGGGGCGGGGTCTAAGCAAAAATCTTTCGGCTCGCTGAAACCGAACCTCCCATCATCCCCTCCGTTGCCTCAGTCCTGCATCAGAAAGGCCTCTTGCACCTCCTGCACCTCACGGTCCCTCGCTGAAACCGAACCTCCCATGGCCCTCAGTCGCTCGGTGGAGCCTCCAGGGCATCCAACATCTTGAAGCGCAAGCGCGGCGAGTAGGCCTGGGAGGGGGTGAGAACCAGGATGGTGGTACCCTTGGTGGGGATGAAGTTCCATCTGAGGTTCGAAGGGTTCACCCTGGGTTTTGTGGGGTCCAAGCCTTCATGAGACAATGGGTTGTTGGGGGATTCAGACCTTTAAAACAATGTTGGGCTAGGAATCTCAGGGGTGTATAATTTCGTACTTAATCTGCTGTAAAATTTACCATATATCTCACCGTCTTCGTATCATATGAACTTCAGCACCACGTTTCGCACGCACGCAAGCACGAGTCCTCTGAGTCCGTCCGTCGGATTCGGCGAGGTGAGACCGGGCACGTCAGCGCGGCTGGTCATGGCTGTCCCGCTCTTTGAGGGGTCAAAAAAGAACCGAGAGGAGCCGCACACCAACCCGGCCGCCGCGGTTGGAGAGCGGTTTTCAGCACCGCTCACCCCTTCAGAACCGTCGGACGCTTCAGGTCACTGAATCCCCTCTGTTGAGGTTTTTCCAGGGTCATGTCAGGGCGGAAGTCTGGCAGTCTGCCAGTGGTGAATTCTTGATCCCCGGGTCTACGACAGGTCCTTTTTTGGCGCCGAAGGAAGGCCATGGATTGGTTGATTGGGAACATCTAAATGGAACCCCATGGTTTTCACATGCTTTCACCCCTAAAGACAACCACTCAACAGGACCCCCACTTGCTTTTTGGGGTGTCTCTTCGCAACTATAAATCACGCCCCTTATCAGCGAAGGTTCATAGGGGGCCGTCTATTCACCCCCTGCTGACCTGTAGGTCCTGGTCTGGTCTTTTCTGTTTTTAGGGCTCCAGGAGGTTACCGAACCTCAGGCTCGGTATGACTGGACCGGGTCACCTGGCATTCGGGCACCCGGGCCCGTCCCACCGAAGCGAAAAACCAGTTCGGTACGACGACTGGAGCCCTGGGGTGTGGCCATCGTTGACGCCGACCGGAGACCGTGCCGAGGCGCATATCTGTTCAGGTGCCTCGCTTCCTGGAGGGCGGAGTGTATTGCGAGGCTGGAGGGACCGGAGGCACTGACCGAAGGTAAAGGCTCTATAGTGGATTGAGAGGACCAATGGGAGAGACCCCAAGGTCGGTGGTTTAGGACTGGACCCCCATCTGTTCAGGACATCTTGGGTTCTCTGCCATCTACTCTGAAACCACTGTAAGTAGCTTGTAGATTACGCCGAGCCCAGGGACAAGTCAAGTACAAGAGACGTGGGGCTCGGCTGCGGCAGAGGACCAGCTCAGAGATGCGCCGGTTCATGGCACATCTACACACCCTGGGGTGTTTTCGAAAGCACCGAAATAAATGAACAGAATCGCTCCACCTACTAGTACGGCGTACAGTCCACCGGGCTGGGGGCTGGGGATTCAGTGATCCCCGGTGTGACCCCACAGCCAGGGAAGAGATGTCTAATTCTCAATATGACCCCCTGGACCATCTTGTCTAGATGCCTGAGATCCTTGGGTAGTGAGGGTAGTCCAGGCCAGGACACCCAGACAGGATGCAGACTGGTCTGCATCCCAAACTGCCCAACATGCTCTGAAACCCGCCGAGTGAAACGGCCTGTTCCAACCGCGCGAAGTGACGGTGTGAATCGCTAAAGCTATGGATCCGATGTTTTTCGAATCAGTGAAACCAGTGGCGTTCACCCAACATGTTCTCAGTCGGGTTGAGGGTCTCTCAACTAGATGACTGACATGATCTGACGGACTTCACTAAGAGAGAGAGAGAGAGAAGAGACCATATAATATACATAGCAGCTAGCATATGATTGAATCCTGCTTCTGTCAGTGGTCAATCTGACGTCCATCATTCTTCTCGTCCGCTTCAGTGGGCCAATCATCAAGCACACTGGCTGAACATCAATTGCTTCTGCACTGAGGCTGAACAAACTACGACTTGACAGAATCTTCAGGGCTAGTGGGACGGTCCTGCGAAATGCTTTGGATGATCACGTTGAAAAAGCCATTCCAGTCGTTGGGGGCCGGGTCGGTTCGGGAGTTCCAAAGGGGTGGCTTTTAGACCCATCCAGTGAGTGGATGTTCTAAGCACTCGTGTCCTCCATTTAGCACCCTTTTGTTAATGTTGGAGGTGTTGGATCTTCCTTTGGCTTAAAGGGGTGGGTTCCCTGAATCAGTGAAACATGTTGAAGATCCAAACATGAATCCTAAGACGTCCAAATTGATTGGGCGGACTGGGCAAACGAGATTCTCCCTGTTCTACAAACTTGCATACAGGAAGCCACATAAGTCTCTACATTTCAAGTGCCAGGTAACTCCCTGCCTGTGGCTCAAAACTGTCCCAAGTTGTTCGACATCTGCCCTCAAGTCATGCATCAAGCGGACCAGAGCAACCTTACTCAGTCGGACCAGAGCAATCCTGGCAAAGCGGCACGCTGCACGCGGTACGCAAGCCATGCGGTACTCATGTCATTTCACACGGTGGACCTGGAGGTGTCAGGCGTGTCAGGCGTGTCTCTGAAGATCCTTTGGGTCCTAAGGGTCCTCAGGGTCCGTTTTTGCCATGTCCAACCACAGCACGAATGGATGGTCGTGGCCAGTTGCCCCAATGGTCGTTGCCCCAGTTACCCAGTTTAACTAACTACGTGTAGTCGCCCATCCCACTGCTACCACCAGTAGACTCAGTAGACCGTGAGCAATGTTTTCACCCAGGCCGGATGTTCTCACCCTCCATCACCGCGGCCACACAAAAAAGGAACCTCTAAAACGTGCCCAGAAACGCCTTGGTTTTCGCGTGTATTTTAATTCTTTCCCTATACAACCCTGCCCTCCAAACGAGAAACATCCATGAAAGCACGCCTGCGATGGGAGAGACATCCCAGCTCTGCCACCACGCAGAATCCACTGATTTCCATGCACAGGCAGTTGTCTACAGTCTGACACATCGACTCGCCACACGCGCGCCTCGCGGGTGCAGAACACTCACGGCCTCAGACCCAGAAGTGCGAACGGATTCCTGCTTCGCGCAGGCGCAGCATGAGATTGATGGCCGTGTCCACGTCGCGTCCTTGGCAAGCGAATGGGGAAAGACGAGTGGACGACACACCGAACGAGGGCAGCGAAGAGGACTCTCAGCGAAAGAGCACACGAGCTTCGTGGGAGCGAAAGGAAAAGGCGACGCGAAAGGGATGTTCCGTTGGATCCGGAGGTGGGGGGATGGTTTGAAGGGGTTCTGTGAGGCTGCGGTTTGGCTGTGTGTGATCGCAAGTTCTGCTCAACATGAGCTGTGGCTTGGACAGATTCGCAAGTCGCGCAGGTGAGATTTGCAGGGATAGAAATGGCAGTCTGGCATTAAGACACTCTGGTCCAGGTTGCAACGGCACGTCGACTTCTGAGTCCTAAAGAGTAGCCTGGGATGAGCCCCAGCTATATGGCCCGACTACTGGTTGTATGGGGCTCAGAAGGTCAACCAGCAGCAGCCAAGCAGCAGCAGCAAGGCAACAGCAGCGAACCAGCAGCAGCAAGGCAACAGCAGCGAACCAGCTGCTGCCGACCGCAGCAGCAACAGCAAGCCGGCAGCAAGCCAGCAGCAAGCTAGCAGCAAGCCAGCAGCAGACCAGCAGCAGCAAACCAACATCTAGAAACAAAATCGAATCCATAGCTGTTCCATAGCTTACCCCAATGGTACACTGATCTCACAGAAGTTGCAATGTGGACGCATCAAAGCCAGTGTGCCACGCAGAGTTGGGATCAACAAGATGGAGAAGTATGTTGCTCATCTCTTCTTATTTGCACTGCTTTGATAGCTTCCCCCAATGGCACATCAGTTTCGACATGAGATTTTGAGCGCTAATAGGGGTAAACACCGGCACCCAGTAGATATACATATACATGCGCATCGGAACCGCTAAGGCACGCCGAGTCTCCGCCAAAGTGGTCCCCTCCGATCCCGGTGTAGAAGTGATAATCGAAATACAGCTCATCGATGAGGTTCGACAACTCCGGGAGGTGTGCAATGGACTCCACCTAAGATGTGCGGCTCCCAGGAACCTGGAAAAACACAAGAAAAAACAAAAACAATGATATGATTTAATCATAGAGAAAATAAGAAAAAGCACCTGATCCTGATCCAACCAGGCCACAATGGCCAGTTCCCTCGTCTCCAGTGCCAGAGAGCCCATATCCACTTTCACCACCACGTAGTCCTCCAGCGACACGGTGGCGGTGAGCAGCTTCAAGAAGCCTCCGCGCCTAAGAGACCGAGACTGGACAGGTGAAGATGGTGGAATTGTGAAGAGATGCGATGTAAAAACACCAGAAATACGAAACCAGACAGACCCTTGTCCCAACATATCCCAACTAGATGCTTTCTCATGAAGGTGCACGTTTCAAGTTGTGAGAATACCATTCCCTAGTAAAGTCTCCTGTGTCCTCATGGATTGATCGTGGGGTGATCGTGTCTCAGATGGTGCCAGGGTTCAATTCATGTTGCAATAATCCCAATAGGTCAAGCACTCGCGTAGTACAGAACACCACTATCAACTCACTCGTAGTCGATAGCGGTAAGGGGCCGGTGTGGGGAGGCGCTTGCTTTGACAGCAGTCCTCAAGTTGTGATCCCAAGCACCGGGTTTAGATATATGTCAGTCTGTAGTCCGTCTTCCCGCCTCTTGGGGTCTCCCTTGCTTTAGCAAACACACACACAGTTCCTGTTACACGCCACCCATTACACACAACATCACACCACCAACCCGCAGTACTCGTTCCCACCATCCGAAGAAAAGGAAGGCCGAACACCCCACCCACCCGGCCGAACTCACCGCTCTCCACAGCTCCGAGCGGCTCTGTGAGGTTCCCCTGTGGCGAGTCAGGGCACAGATGCTCCTGCACCGGCCGGTTGAAGAAGCGGAAGCGCGCGCGGATCGGATCGGGCAGAGGGTCCCAGAAGTGCTTGTGGTCCACGCGCTCCGCCTGCGCCGGCTGGTCGATCGCCGGCTGGAACGGGAGGGCCGGGGAGGGCCGGGAGGGCCGGGGAGCACGTCTCTTTTTGAAACACAGCCACACCCAGATGGCAGCTGGTGTATCTCCAATTTACAGATCAAAATTCCACATGTCTGCCCGCACCTGCCATGCATAGATGGCTTGAAAGTCAATGCAACGGTCGGCATACATTCTGAAGAAGAATGGGATCGATGATCGCATGCCAGAACCATTGGCAGCGGCGGCATAGTCATAATTCTCAAAGCCGACCACATTTGCACCACATCCCAGGTCGAAGAACACACCTACCGCAGGGCTGCGGGTTAACCACACCATGTGGGGCCAATGGCAAATCATCAAATAAATATCAAAAACTCTATGTGCTGCAGCTCCTGCCTTTGGTTCTGTTGCCCTCCTTCGTACAAGCATTTTCAGGTAGCAAGTACGTGACGTTCTGCTCGTCAATGCTTTGGTTGCCCATGGCACATCCTTCCGAGGCCAGCGGATGCCCCGCAGCGCCATGTAAAGGTTCCAGATAGCGGTTCACTCGGCTGCCGTCCGGTCGAGGATAAGAGAAATAGGACAAGACCTCGACTGCGGGTTGAGCAGGTTTGCATGAAATGTAGACTCTTGATCATAGTTCAACCCCCATATGAAGAGGTGTTTCAATTCAATCGGGGTGGGTGTGTTAATCAAGAGTCTACATGATGTACCTGCTTCATCAACAGGATACCAGTCATCTGGCTTCCATAGCTTCGTCATCGCCATAAAAATGTGGAACGGAGCCCCTCGAATCTGTCGGGCAAAACTGGTCCGGGCTCTGTGAACGTCTTGAGAACCACTAACAGAATGAAGAGAATCTGCTCCATCTCAATTCTTCGGCTACCAATATCTATCAATGCTTCGTGAAAATGTACTTATATAAACAGAAAAGAAAGAAAAAAACACCTTCCCGATGTTCGGATTTGTATTATACTACTGACTAGTAACTTAGGACTTGTCGGACATACACGCCAATTCCAAAAGCCTATGTCATCAGGATTGATCCAACATTGGCATTTCCTCTTAAGGCCTATGTCATCAGGCCACAACCATGATATTCATAGAAATATGTATGAGGTATTCAAGGAAGCAACACATAGTCGCACCCTATGTCACCACTGTGTCACCAGGGTGCCAGGCAGTGGTATCTAGCATTATTTAGCTGTTTTTTTTACATTTTTTGTCGAGGAGGTGTCCACAGGTCCTATGACACCAGGTTTCCCAACCCAGACATTTTTTTGCTCGATATGTCAGGGCACATGACTTAGCCCTGGGGGTAGCCAGACTGGTATGTCACTTGCATCACGTTGGCCTAAGTCATTAGACAGTAGTGTATATAAAAGGCCTGTTGTGTGCGAAAACAATACATGGAAGAGTTTGATTTGAAAAACAGAGATTTCTGTGGAAAGTGATCGCGTCTGTTTGGAATGGATGTAATACTGTATTCCTTGTATTTGAGACCAATGCAAGGAGACGAAGTGTTTGGAAGTTGCTTTGAGGATGACTTAGGGTCAAGAAATTCTTCCTCTGGACTCTGGGCCCAGAAACACTTTTTGTGGTGCAAAAAAGGTTCGAGTCGCTGACTGAAAAAACAATGAAAAAACATCATCTACAGCAGAGTTTGTTGTGTCCGATGTCCAATTCGCATCACAAGGAATTGGTTTGGACTCCATTTTCACACCATGGCTGTGCCATCATAGCACCTGGGGACCCACCACCACTCCCACCGCCATCTTCAGCTACTCCACGACCTGCCCAAAAAGAACATCAGGACCTGTATGATGAAATGGAACGGTCAGAAAGTTGCGCGAACAAACCTCTCCTGAAAGTTGGACACTAATATGGTCGAATCCTTGAGGTCTATGCCTATGCCATGTTGTCGCGACAGTGGCAGATTCTCATTGCCAAAACAAACATATCCACTCCACCCGGTCAAGCAAACATCATTCAAACCTGTGGGCTGTACATCGGGCGGACGACGGTGTGCGTTCGGCACGTCGGTGATGTGCGGACGTGTGCTGGAGGTTCCGTCCAGGTCAAGCGTCGCCCGCTTCTTCCTCCGTGGGTTCCCTCGCCGGCCGTTGCTTCGCTTGGAAGACGCTGGCCGTGTAGCTCAGCCAAAGCTGTGCCTCGGCAGGACGTAAGAAGGAGGGGGGGTCGCTTGCGTCGCTTGGGACGGTGTGCGGTGCCAAAGCAGAAGCTATTCGATCTACTGGAGATGTTCTGGAAAATTGCTGTTCCAATGCGTTGTTCACCCCTTTTAGCCTGAAAGTTCTACCAGTAGCCATGCTCAGTCAATCGAATGGATTCAAATTAGGCAGTTTCGTCCTTTGAAAGGCAGGGAATTCTCGCCAACCAAAGGTATAATTACTGGGCGGTCCCCAGTCTTGGGTAATACATCCCGTATCAATGGCCAAAAAGGCAAAAAATAAAGTTCCGATCAAAAATTGAGTCAGTTCCGTGTCTAATCTGGGCAAAAACACCTGTTGTTCCTGCTCTTTGGCGGTGGCGCAAATCTTGCCCCTCCGACGGACATCAATCCATTGCTTCTCCAGATCACTGGGATGATATTCATAATCGCCTCGCCGCACATGGTGCCGATCATCCCACACGGATGAGACAAGTCGTCGGTCCTTCAGATTAGACTGAAGGTCTAGATAGATAGGCTCAGAGCAATAGCCACATATGTAAACTTTTCTGCAAGGCATGCCAGCCGAAAGTAACCTCAGAACATCAAGAACCTCAATGTTGAGGGATGTTCCAAGAAAAGAGGCCAACTCAAACCATCTTGCACCTTGTCAAGGCCAATGCATGTACATGCGATTTACATTGGATACAGCAAGATCCATGTGGGATCAGATGGGATAACACGAGAGACGAAAGGATGACATAGGTTCTTGAGCCAGGACAAACCCTCATTGATTTTGTTTATATGATTTATAATTCCTTCATGATGAAGGAAAGATATATATATTTATTTATGTGAAAGACATAAGAACCCCAAAATACCAATTCAGCAAATGCAGTTCATGGAATTAGATCTGCACCCACACAATAGACAAGATAAGTCTTGATAAGTGATACACCACTTCGGAAGCCGATCCAGTACGGAAGGGTTCCACCGAGTAGGCAGCTACAGCTAGATGGGTATGACTGGCTCCAGCCCCATGTGACGCCGCACAAACCAGGCTTCAGTTTTGAGTTCGCAGGAATTCAGTGCATGGGTAGATGGATAGATGACAAATAGATAAGACAGGTAGACAAACACAACAGTATGATAGACGAGTAGACAGAAAATGATGAACATGCAGATATATATATATATAGAGAGACCTTTTAAAAAAGAAAAGAGATCCTGCACAAGAAATATGCACACAAATGCAAGTGTCCGCTTTCGAAAGTCTGCCCGTTCTCCATGGAACCCGCCGTCCCCAAAACCGCCGCGCGTAGAACATCAGCCGGAACACGCCTGCCTCGAGGCGGTAAGTGATGTAGCGCAGGCACGCAAGGATTTCCCTGCCCTCCAGACACCCACGGCTGCCTTGGTCGCGCGAGCTGCCCGCTAAAAGCGCTCCGGAGCGAGCTACTGCGCTGCCCGCGGCGCTCGCACGTTCTCCGACGAGCCGAGAACGACATCAACGGAGCCGAGAAGGGCGCGGCTTTCAACGGGCGATGCGCCGATCGGAATCGGATCGTTGTCAGAGTCCATCGGAGCGAGCGAGCGCGGACCTCGGCTTGGGGCGAAGCTGAGGCGGCTCGAGGCGAGGCCAACGAAGGCTGGAGGACCGGCTGGGCTGGGCTGGTTTGGCAGGACCGTGGGGTTGTTTGCTCCTATAACGACCGAGCTGAGCTGAGCTGTTTGCTGAAAAGAAGACCACAAAAACGACCTCGACCTCAACCGCGGGGAGGACACCAAAAGCAACGAAAAATATCTTACAGAAACTCCACAAAATCATAAGCCAAGTGACTTCAGCATAGTGCCATTTGGCCTATGTTGTGGTAGCCACGCATCCAAACGCGCTTGCTGGACTTCACTGGACGTCGCTGGCACAGCTGGACCCCGCGCTTTCCCTGGACAACCCAAACTGAATTATGGTGAACAGTTCTGGTAGGGAAACCACATGAACTGCAGGACTATGCTACAGCTAGGGTCGTTCAGGAATGTGTCATCTCAGAAAAACAAATCAGATTTATACTACTGTTGCCATCTTGGCCCCCATCATCTCAGAAAAAAAAGTCTAAAAATATCAGATTCTCCTGCTGCCATCCTGGCCGCATTCCGTTCAGAAATCCGTTCCATTCAAAAACCACTGACTCCTTGACTCCGCGCCTGCACGCTTCTTTGGTGCTTCGACGGCGCGTTTTCCTGGAACTCGACAGTTCGCGACACCAAACCACCACGCGCCACCGAGGCTGAGCAGGGCCAGTGCCACCACCCATCGCCACATGACGCGTCACACGGTGACGAGCATGGTGCTCACATGGCGATCACATGAACCAGCGTTCTTTTGTGTGAAGAGATTCCTGGGTTTTTGAGCGTTTCTGATGTGAAAGGGAGTCAGGATCATTCATTATCATTTATAGCAAACACTTATGGTATGTATTTGTGATGTTTGCAGTTCTTTTCGCTGTTGTGTTGGTTTGCTGCTGGTATTGGCTCATGGTTGTTTTGGCTGTGGCTGGAGGGAGAGTAGTGGAGTGAATTTTTGTGAATTTACCCCGCTCATGCACACCCCAAACAAGAACTACGTACTTGGTTGACGGGATGTGAATGTCTGGAGTAACACTCTGGGTGCTTTATGGTGCTTTACATGCTGCATCAGCCCTTTATCCTGGAATCAGTAGAGCTCAGTAGACTCTGTAGCGCATGGATTCGCTAAAGAAGGTAGCGCATCTAGATCTGGCAAACTTAAACGCACGGGGGCTAAAGACAAAGCTGTCTGCGTAAAGTGGGCTGCGTCAGAAGCGAATGTCGTGGTCTTCATTGTCCATCCAAAAAATGGATAGCGAAGCTTGCTGGAGAGCTCCGACATGATGTAGGCTCTCGATTGATAAACCACCCATGGGAAGAGGATTGACAATTGAAATGGGGGAGTGTTAACCTGAGAAGCGCGTGTCGACAGAGACAGTCCATTCTCGTCCGTGCATTCAAATGGGGGAGTGTTATTGATCAAGAGTTCCAACATATTCCAACCCTGTATGACGCGTTATCTGTTGTCACGCTGGATGCTTCGGTATCGCTCAACAAGGGGGGGGGGTCAGGAGGACAGCATCGGTGTCCCAATTCCAAAGCACCACCGCTTGAATGGATCCTTTCATGGTCTTTGTTGAAGAACCCTTCATTTGACTGAGGATGTCGTCAGAAAAAAAAAGAACCATGGTCAATCATTTGTTCAATGGTCTTGGAAGGCCAGGGTGTTGTTCTATCTGTGATCTCTTCGTTTTCCAAAGAAGACTGAAACGACACCGCGGGGAAGACCCGATGTGCCGTCAGGTGGAGAAGCGGCGGTCGCGGGATCCATTCCGAGGTGCTCAACCTTCTGCAAGTGGACCTTGTTCACTATGGGCATGCCCATGCGGTTTAGCTTTTTCTGATGGTTTTTGGTGCTTAGCTTTTCGGTTTTGGGCCACCACAACTCGGTGGTTTTTCTTCGGGCAAAGCGGTCTCAGCGGTCTCAGCCGCCCGACGCGAAGCCAATTGAGGCGCTGCCAGAGAGGATGGAAGGCCTGAACCGCGCGCTGCTCGCGCCGCGCCTATAGGTGAACAACGCAGCGGTCGGAGCTGACCCGATCTGAACCCTAGGAAAACGGAAGTAACGCGTTTCTAGAACTATAAGAAGACAGTTGTATACTCCTATATATTGTATTATGTTGTACTGGTGGTTTTTTCTCTTCGTCTTTTCCAAACATCACGATCATCACGGTCGGTCGAACTTGGGGGGGTCGAACTTGGGACTGCTGGTGCTGTGGCTGGTGCTGTGCCCAAGGCTTGTGCGACAAGTCTGGGGGAATGTTCACCACACCAGGTCTCCAAGCACCAGGTCTCCTTTGATGGAGGGTTGGGTGGGAGAGGCCCGAAGACCGGTCTCAATTGGTGACCTGGCAGGTTTCGAGTGCTGGTAGATACCTCAGGATCCAGCCACCCTTATGCCATCTTTTTCCGTACTCACCAGTGTCAGTCGAGGATCTCGGTCCGTCTCTCACCAGACCACCCTGCCCAACGACCCCTGGTCGACCATCCCCCCAAAAGGACGACGACGAGAACAGCGTCTGAAAGTGAAAAAGAACGAAAACGTAGGCCTAAAAGCCGTCTGGTCTGAAACGGCCCATCACTATACCAGGACCATCCAAGAGGTGCGGACCTTACCTCCATTGCCTCTTAGAGGTGATTTGGGGTGTCCAAAAACCACCGGACGAAAGGAAGGTCTTGGTAGAGAAACATCCATCAAACCCATCTGAGTACACCAATATCCTCGACATCGAATGTCGGGTAGGAGATCTTCTCCGTACCGACCCTTCATCCAAAACGGGTTGATGTTCGCACGATGACAGGGGTAACCCTGGACCCGTGGGAGAGTCGGAGAGAATCCCCTATTGACCAATCTGCGAAAACCCTAGGAGTTGATACCTAGTCTTGATGAGGGGAAAACCATGTTCTGCCTCTCACAGCCAGGGGTGATTGAGGTTCTAGCAAGAGGCAGCAAGGGGATCTGCGAAGAGACTTTCCTGCATGATTAGCTGGATTTGCAGGATTTCACCGCTTAACCAGCATTTCCCGCCGATGAAGCTTGCCTCCTGCTCGACTCCAGCTCCTGCCTGCGGCGTCTTTGCGCGATCAGGGGCGATGTGTGCGTGTGTTGCATCAAATCAGCAGTTCCATGGAGGAGCAGCGCGCTATCGGAGGAAGTCGGCAGTCGGGGTGCCCCGAACATCACATCCACGGCGGATGGGATGATTTCTGGTGCCATCCTCTAATTCAAACAATAGAAAGTGGTTCTTCACAACTCTTGAAAATGAAAACTCATACTCACGGACAGTGGAAGTGGCAGTCTTCATCTCTCCTTCACCGCATTGAAAAGCATACCTTCCCGCCGAACGCGACCGATTCCGATTCCGTTGCGTCGCAGCAACAACCGGTGACCTCCGCCGTGGCCGTTCGGAAGTAGCTCCTCTGTCTGCCCCTTCGCTCCTTTCCCGGCGAACCTGGCAGAAGACCTGGAGGAGCTCGCAGGCGCATTCCACTGATGGCCTCAGAGCACCGAAGCCCCACGGGATCGCGAAGGCGAAGTGGCGAAGTCGTTGGTGGCCCCGGCAGCGGACTAGGTCGGATTTATGTGGCTTCCAAGGGGGGTTGGACAGTTTGGACCTGGACAGGTCCTCCGCGTTCCAGGGTGGTGAGACGTTGAGGAAGGTGGAAGGTGGCTCACCAAATCATGTTGAAGTGGCTGGAGCTGAGCCTTTTTGTTGCCAGAAAGCACGCAAGACATGAGATTCTGAGCTCATCCAAGGTCTGTCGGCTCGCAGCCAAGGCCAGTGAAGGTGCTTACAAAGTACCACAGACCACAACACCCCTGGCGTGGGGTTTTCCTGGAGTCTCTACATACCACCGCTGGCTGTGGGTCCTGGGAAAGGTTGCAAGGGTTTCTGGTGTCCACAGCTATACCTCATACCCACCGGCTGAAGTCTCCAACTTCATCCGGAAACCTGCAGCCCATGAAGCTCGATATGTTTATCAAAAGCAACACGATTTGATTCATGCCAATCTCGCTTCAAACAATCATGATTATTATCTAAAAACATGTACAGCAATTTGTAACCCCAAACGAACCATCTTTGCTGCTGTTTGTTTAAGGCTTCTCCCATCTTCTGATCCCACCTTCTGAAAAAGCGGCACGGTACCTCCCCAAAGTGTAGCGTTGACTGGTTGACTCCTGGTTGACGGTTGATATGTCACCCCCCCCAAGCCAGAAGAAGTTTTATCATCCCTGTCTGGTGGCTATGAATCAAGAGTCAACATTGAGGTCTGACCTCGTTCGCACAAATTGTTTAGTATATATTTCTGGCCAGTGATCAGTCATCCAGGATTCAATGCCTTTTTTCCGGTGGTGAACTACGATAATTACGCGGTGAGTGTAGGTCAAATCCATGGTTCTTCACCCCCATCAAATTCACTCTCCATCCACTTCACCGTGGTTCTTGGAGCATCCCAAAATTTTCAGGACATTCCTCTTCGGGTCATCGTTAAAATGCGACTGCCGAGCCCCAACCTCATGGCTGGCGCCCCAAAAATACCTAGACCTTAGGCTGTAAGAGGGCATCGCTATGAACAGAGCAAGGAAGCTACGAACGGGGGCGCTCCTGGCCCTACGAACGGAAGCGTTCGGACGCTCATGATGTCTCACCTGGACTCCCCGCCGGGTCCCCTCCGGGTCCCTTCATGACGCGCACTTCCCGGGCTCGCCCGCACCCATTCGACCCCCCCCCTCCGGTCTTGGCGACGGCGCTCGGAAGGACTCCACACCTGGGCGACTCGACCGCGCAGTCGATCGCCGGAGCGGGGGCAGGGATCTGACGGAGTGGTGCCTTCTCCTTCGGAGCCCGGAGGCGTTTTTTGGGGGGATGGAAGTCATTGGTGGAGACGGCCAAAAAGCTAATCTGTTTGGTTGACTGGGAGAAGTCTGGGAATTCGAGTTCGGGCCTTTAGAGTCCTTGCCCATTCTCGTCCTGCCCTGGGCACTCACACTCACCACTAAAGAAATGAAAAAGAACCGAGTTTGTTCGATAGACTGTGAGTCGTTCAGATCCTTTTTAGGTAGCTGGCCCAGCTGGGCTGGCGGATTCCGCCAAGTACCCATAAGTACCCCGGACCGCAGGGTCCAGCCCCGATCTTCTCGTCTTGCTGAGTCCTGGGTCTGCGCACCGATTGGTCACGGCAGACCATCGACCTGATGCGAGAGGTGAGGCGGGAGAATCGGACCGAGAACCCCCAGGTCTTTCGTTCGACCATTTAATGGTGGATGGGGTGGATGGTCGTTCTAAATCCGTGGTAGAACGTCGTTTGGGACTTTTGAACCAATCAATTGAGAGCCAGGAATGCTACGGCCTGCTAGGGGTACACTCTGACTTACTAATATGGACGGGGAGAATTGTGGAAGACGAGGAAATGTCCTCTACACAGGGGCCCAGGGAGAATCCACTTCAGGCAGCGTGAGGTGGGTGGTGTCTTCAAATGGAAGACATGAAGGCATGACAAGTACCTGGACCCAACTTCACAGGTCACCACCTGCCACTTGTAAGTCTGCAAAAGCCACCAAAGAAGACCTTTTGGAGGGTGCTGGTAGAAGGGTTTGAACGAAGACCATTTAGGACGAAAAGGTTGACGTCCCCTTCTTCAAAGCTGCCAAGAAAAAATACCGGAGTAGTTTATGAAGTCCAGTTTGACTCTATTTGTCACCGAAGGAAAGTCTGTCTTGAAATCGGGCCGGGTCAGTGAAAGACCCTTTTCGGCCTTGGACTCCCAA